CAGGGAGGAGTGCTTTGGAGGGAAGGGACACCCCCCCCCCCCTTTCACACAACTCACAGGAGCAGAGTTGAGGCTGTCCATCTGCTGGAGGTCCCTCACCTGTCACCATTTTTCTCTTGCTATAAGGAAAACGTTTCAGAAGTGATTCATGCTGGCAGCAGAGGTATGAAGCAGCAGACAGAAATGACACTTAGCGCTCATAATTGAGACAAGTACACACTATAGAGGGATATTCTTTGTTTACATTTCATGTCTGAGGTTTACAACCACTTTTAATGTACTTTCTTTTTTTTTTCTTTTCAAGAAGCTAATTTAAATTTTGTTTTGCTTTGTAGACTAAGTTGGTAGAGACCCATCAGGTTCTTTTTAATCGTTTGCAAGTGCTTTCAGATTGGCTAACCTCTAATAGTGATCCTATGGACTTTTCGCTGAATACTAATGATGTGGATGCATTGAAGGAAACCTTACAGTGCCTAAAGGTGCAGTAAAATAATAATAAGATATTTTAATAATGTTTGTTTACCATAACCATAAGTAACAAATGTACAGTATGTTAGTTTTTTAGGTGAGATACAAAACAAGGATTGTGTATTAAAAAGGTTGAGGTGCAGTTTATTTGTAAAATGGTTATTTTGTGACATAAGCAAACCCTTTTTCAAATACAGTACGTTCTGCAAATATAACCTTCATTTGAGGGCATGTAGATGTAAACTACTTTTTTTAATGGTGAAACTGGATATAAAATTTAGATGTAAACTACTTTATTGGTGAAAGATATCAGTATATTTCAGGTATTAAAATGATGTGGACTTTAAGACAAAGTGGCCAGGACAGTGAAGGACAGGCACTGTTAGATGCAAATGAACGTCAGAGCCATGACCGATTGAGGTAAGTATGTATCTATGGAGGGAAAGGGTGGGTTGAGCTAGGTCAGGGGAAGGGGGCAAACAAAGGATACTACAGATACTTAGAGTGCACTTATCCTTTAGTCTGCACTCACACCTGAGCAGAGTATATTTCAGGTGATTTTGAAGTGTTTTTGCATATGTATCAAGCTTCAGCATTTGTTTCCAGGACTGAGCAAGGTGATAAAAGGAGTTTTTCAGGTGAAAAAATGTGTACAAAAATGTGTGAAAATGCACTTGTCACACATTTACAGTTTCTCCCATTGAAGCCCACAAGGGCCACAATAGTTTATTGATGAGATGGTTTCTTCTTTGGGTGAAGGGTGTTGACCATACAAGAGACTGCGTTTTGATATGTGACCAGGCACAATTACAAACAAAAATATTCTGAATGCTAAGTGTAGTTAGGTGTAGGGAAACACACTTCAGAATGGTCAGGTTCAGGTGTGATGGGGTTAGCTTCTGTATAAGGATCTATGGGCAACAGTTGTCACAAGCAACTGTACTTTCCTGGCAATACATGCTTTATGCCAGTTAAGGGTTAAGTGGAAGCTGGTGCCACCATTCACCTAATATGGCCACAAGGCCATAATATGACCAATATGTGGCCATCATAGGTCAATTATGTCACTAGCGTTCCCATCCTTTTGTCGTGTGTGGATGTGGGGATTTCCATGTCTGGAGTTTAGTGTGCCAACATGTTTCCCATGGGTCCAGACCAAACTGAGTTAGGCCCAAACCTTAGCTCATCCACAGTTGTGATGAGCAGACCATGAACTCCCTGCCTTGAGTACGGCTTGACCTTCCCTCTGCTGTGGTAAAGAGGGAAGGGTAAAAAAAAAAACTGCATGTAAGCCACTGTCTTTGTTGGTTGGCTATTGCAACAGGCTATGGCATTCCATTGGCCCAATTCAGGGACAGGCAGATATCTTCATACAGTCGTGGCCAAAAATATTGGCACCTCTGCATTTCTGTCAGATAATGCACCACTTTGCACAGAAAACTGTTGCAATTACAGATGTTAGGCATTCTCATGTTTATTTCTTTTGTTTGTATTTCACGCAAAACCCCAAAAATGGACTGGACAAAATTATTGGCACCCTCAATTTAATATTTGGTAGCACACCCCTTGGAAAAAATAAATTAAATCAAGTGCTTCCTATAACCATCAATGAGTTTCTTATAAGGGTTACTTTTCCCAACTTTTTGTTTAAGATCTCTCCATAAGTGCTCTATGGAGTTGAGATCTGGAATCATTGCTGGCCAGTTCAATACTCTCCAGCCCTTTGTCTTAAACAATGTCTGGGTGCTTTTTGACATGTGCTTTGGGTCATTCTCCTGCTGTAAGACCCATGACCTCTGACGGAGACCCAACTTTCTGACACTGGGCCCTACATTGCACCCCAGAATTCTTTAGTAGTGTTCAGATTTCATAATGCTATGCACACACGGTCAAGACATCCAGTGCCTGAAGCAGCAAAGCAACTCCAAAACATTAGTGAACCTCCAGCATGTTTGACTATAGGGACTGTATTCTTTTCTTTAAAGGCCTCATTTCCTTTTCTGAAAACAGTAGAATGACAGGCTCTACCAAAAATTTTGTATCATCTGTCCACAGCACATTCTTCCAACAGGATTTTGGCATTCTTAGGTAAGTTTTGGCAAACTCCAATCTGGCTTTGTTATGTTTTTGTGTCAGCAGTGGGGTCCACCTGGGTCTCCTACCATAACATCCCTTTTCATTCAGATGGCGATGTATAGTGTGAGCTGACACAGTTGTACCCTGTGCCTGCCTGAAGGTCACCTTGAATTTATCTGGAAGTTGATTGAGGTTCTTTATCCACCATTCGAACAATCCTTCATTGCAATCTTTGATCAAGTTTTTCTCTTTCGTCCATGTCCAGAGAGATTAGTTACAGTGCCATGGGCTGTAAACTTCTTGACAATTTGCGCACAGTAGACACAGGACCATTAAGATAATTGATACAGGTGAGTTTAATTACAAATTACAAGAGCATCACAAACTTGGAATATAATAATTTCTTACAATTTTGAGACGGTGCCAATAATTTTGTCAGTCCATTTTTGGGGTTTTGCGTGGAATGAGTAAGATTTGGCTTTTTGTTTCTCCACTTTTTTGTGGTGTACCAATACAAACAAAATATATAAGCATGAGAATGCCTAAACATTTGTAATTGCAACAATGTTTTTGGCAAAGTGGTGCATTAGCTGACAGAAATGCAGGGTACCAATGGCCATGATTGTAGATCTCACTCTTAGATATAATTGCCTATGTTTATTCACATTCATAATCACTGAATGGCAAGAGTCTAGTAAATATTTTTGTTGTGCAATATACCATTTATTAGTGCATGATCTATGTACAGCACAACTGCATATTAAATGTTAATATTTAGTGAATATAAGCACCTGTAGGAATATTTAGACCTATAAATTTAACTAACCTTGAGTTTTAAATACAGGATTTAAACACTCAACTCTCAGAACAAAAAATAGAACTGGAGACAACTGCATTTGATATTCAATTCTTCATATCAGAACATGCTCAGGATCTATCTCCAAATCAAAGCAAACAACTACTGCGGCTTTTGAATGCAACACAGAAACATTTCCAGGAAGCTCAGAAGAAATTCTCTTCACAAACAGAGTCATTAAAAAGTCACCTTCTTGCAGTCCAAGACTTGAATGAACTGAAGGTTTGCCTCTTGCTGCTTGTGCTCCAGTTTGCAGTTTGCTTTTTCGGCTGCCGTATGCTTTGAGTAAATTCATCTAGTCTAGTTGGTGACAGGAGTATATTAACAGGTTGTATTACAAAGTTTATTCAGGTAAATCATTTTTGGGTTAAAGCATGACCCAAGTTACCCTAGCTCTACATTTACTTACATGCTGTATTAAAACTCAGAAATATTGCTTCCCTAAAGAATGCTGATTTCTAAATGCATCAGTGGAAGTAAAGAATGGATAAGAAGTGCGATGACGTGACCCCACTTGTGTTGGCATGATCTGTGGGTCCCTCTCCCGTGGTGTAAAGTGGGACTTGCAATCTTCTGTTGCATTCCTGTGAATGGATGACGGAGATGTGTGAGCGGGGCCATGCACAGCCGCCCTTAAATCTAAACAACAGGACTCTCCAGGGAGAAGCACTATTGATTTAGTTGAGTAAGGGGGTTGATTGAGGATGGCATGTGGGGAATGCAGCTTTGCTTCATGTTACACTCTAAATAAAGGTGTAACATGAAACATTGTTACAAAGGTGAACTTTGCCTGTTTAACTTTCACATTCACTGAACTAAATTCAATTCAAATGTCATGTTCTCCAGGCAGGCAACCCATCTTGTAGAGTTGTAGTGAATGTGAACTGTAGTATTTATCATGCAAAATTAAATAAACCCGTTTAAGCAATAAGAGTCAGTGTACAGGGGCGGACTGACCATTGGGGAACTCGGGCAGTGCCCGAGGGCCCGGGGTCAGTAGGGGGCCCCATGAGATGTCCCTGGTACCTTTCATAGGCTTTTTTGGGTGTGGTTTGAGTGTGGGAGAGGACACAGGGGCCCCATGATCTCCTATTGCCCGGGGGCCCCATGAGTTGTCAGTCCGCCCCTGTCATTGTATGAATATCAGAGCCAATATAAGAGTAGGTGTATAAAAAGATATGTATTTAGTTTCATGTCTGCATTAAATTTGAAGTTCACAGCTTAAATCTTTGGCAGATCTATCTTAAATGTACATCTTGCTTTAACCATCATATTTCAACACTAACCTCTCTGATATATCTTTTTGTGCATCATTATTAACACAGGTTCCAGGATGAAAAGGGATTGAATTGTCAACGCTGTTGAATCATCTACTTTAACTTGTGCATGGTCAGGCTTTGATCAGACTTTTCTCTTTTTGGTCTGTTTATTACATTTTGAGATGAATGTGATGTTTTCTCTTCTCTACTTCAGTCACCTTTGCTTAGACCATGACCTACTGCTACCATGTTTACAGCATACTGTCCTTTGTGGCTGTGCAGCACTGCAGTCTTGAGTATATTCTGTTAAAGATACTTGTGTTTCCTTTTCTTTCCTGTAGGATGCTGAGGTGCAGCTGCAGGAACACAAGGGAAAGCTGCAGGAGATTTGTGACCTGCTTACACAGACAGAAAACAAACTGATTGGTCAACAAGACAAGTTGATTTTGAGGGATACTCCAGCTGATCTTCAACACTGTCAGAGTGAATATGAGGTGCTGTGTCAAATACAGTTGTAGAATAGGAGATCTGCTTTTCGGGCAACCACTGCTTGCATGATAGTTTTAGTAGCCCCAAACCCCAGTACCTGCATGCACATTTGTTTTTTATTTTATAAAGCTACCTGATTAACGTAAAATTTCAGATATATACAGAAACAATTGAGTACTGTCCGTGATATTTTTTTTATTTGCACTAACATACAATTTTGAGGACAAGCTTTTGGGGTATGTCCCCTTCTTCAAAGTCCAAACAGTACTATTACAAATCACAACGTTTAAGCAGAATGTTAGAAGGGATTGAAAAAAAAAAAAAAGGCTACAGATAAGATACATCAAAAGCGAGGGGGGATACTACACTCACACAGAGGGGGTCAAGCTTCAGCTAATAGATAGTCATAAAACTGTCAGATAATGGTTGAGGAATCCCATGTCCAAGATATATACAAAATCATCCACAGCACACAAGGAGGAAAAATATATCAATCTTGCAGCAGCTAACTTAAAACTCCAGTCCGCCAAGAGTATTCACCATGAAAGAAGTTTGAACGCTATATAAAGGACTTGTTTAACTTAAAAATCAGACTTTGTAAATTCCTCTTTCTGTGTGCCATTCCCTGTGCATGTTTACATACATTTAGAATGTGTATCAGATGTGTTTGCAGTGCATTTAAGGTGCATTTTGTGGCATTATTTAATATTTTTTTATTTTCCATGTATTTGCAATAGAGTTGCCACCTCATCCCTTTAAACCTGAGCACATATTAATTACACAGGTTCTGTGGCTGATTAAGGTGATGATTAAACTCATTTAGTGTCTTATCTGCATTAAATTAACCTCAGAACCTGTGTAATTAATATGTGTTCGGGTTTAAAGGGCTGAGGTGGCAACTTTAATTTGCAATGCATTCACATGCATTCTGGTGTTAAAAAATGCAGCATGCTTTTTTTTACTTCACTTAAAAGCACCACAGTGGTGTAAACAAGGCTTCATGAAATACATTAATTTTTCTTGCATATGTATTCGTGTGGCATTTAAAAGTATGTTCATCAACATATAGTGTAAACAAGTCCTAATGGAGGGTTGATGACCTAGTCTGTTCCTGATTGCTATGTAGTCTGCTCCTTTCTGCTTCTCTTAATTACTCAATTAGCTGCAGAGTGTGATGGGGACAAGAAGGAAATGAGGGACAGACTACAGAACAACCAGGAATAGATCTGACCCCTTAAAAATTAAGCTGCAACAAAAGTTAAAGTGGAAGTAAACCCTTTTTTTTATATTTTACCTTCAGGTAAGCCTTTAATAAGGCTTACCTGTAGGTACTGTAAATATATCCTAAACGTGCACCGTTTAGGTGATATTTACTGCAGCAGCACTGGTGATGGCGTGCTGTCCATTGAGAGAGCCGAGGCTGAAACGTCATCATTGCTCGGTCGGTCAACCGGCCACTGCTCGCAAACCTGGAAGGAAGAAGGAGGCCCCAGAGAGCTGTGACAGTGCTCCCCTGGAGGGTTTAGTTTTCAGGTAAGTCTTTCATAATGTGCTAGTATGTGATGCATATTAGCACATTATGCTCTTAACTTGCAGGGAGAAGTTTTTTTAGATTCTTTTTTTTTTGTGGTTTCCTACCGCTTAAAGACTTGCATAATAGCACATAGGCCTTGCTAAAAATTTCAAGCCATAGCCCACAGGGGCTATTTTATCATGCCTGAAGTGAATTTATCTTAAATGCTATTGCAGCTTGATGAATCAAGGCCCTGGTTGCTTTTTGCTTTATTATAACCCCCAGTTCTTAGCCAGCACTTTACAAAAAAGTGAAATTTCTGCTTTTATGCGGACAGTGTTTGCAGGCATGCTCTACATTTGTGGCTGTGATGCATTTGCTTGTGGTAGTAAGTTTATTGGTGGTTTCATTTACTCATAAATAAATTATAAATACAGCTTTATGCTTCTTATATGCATAGATTCAGGACTTTCAGTACCTTAAGACCCTGTTTGGATTTGTGCATTTTAGATGTGTGCTGTTTTGCAGCCATGTTGTAGTTGTGCTACCATTAAAAACTAGGACCTGTTACTCTCAAAACCAAATAAAAATACAATCGAATTAAAAAACAATCTGGACATTTTTTTCTGAAATTTGCATATATGAAGTCCCTAGTCTGTATACTATTTTGTTACTGGATTCTCAGAGACTCCTGTCAGGAAATGGAAGATGGTAGATATCCTGTAGTGTTCCTGTTTGCCTTAAGAACCAATAGTAGTCTGAAATACCTGCATGTTATTATAAAATTATCAACATACATGATGGGTAAGGAACTCCTTTTTAAGCACTAATTAAATACAATGTATCTCTAGGCAATTTATTTTTTAAATAATGGATAGCTTGAGGAAGAGCTGTGTCCCTGTTGGGGAGATTCGCTCCTCTGTTTGCACTGGTTGCCATTGTCATCTAGAAAGAAATGGAGGGGAAATCCAAAATGTTGGAGTTTTCCCCAGAACAATTGGCACACCCGTTCTAGGGACAACTGTCTAAAAGGGGAATTTCTGTCACTTAAGTAGATTTCTTTCTAACGTCCTGTTGTATCTCTAGGACAGGAAGTGAAGGGAAATATATCTAATGCTAAACAAAAAAATAACCTGAGAGGGGTTTTAACCTTTCCCTATTTTATCCAAAATTTAAAAAAAAGTTTTGGCTATAAATACTTTATTTACCTGTATTGTTACAACAGAAAATCTGTGTGAATGTACAGTATAACGTACCTTTTTCCACATGATGTTAGGTCGTTTATTTCTACACTTCTTCACAATGACACACATACCAGATGAATACACCTTTTAATGAAGAACTGACTGAACATATTTTTTTTTATTTTACAGGAGCTACAGAAGGATATGCAGGCTGGTGCTAGTGAGTTGGCAGAAATTGTGAAGAATACAGAGAAATTCCTTCAGGAGCACGGAGATAAACTTTCCCCTGAAGAGAGAGCCGTAATTGAACAGAAACTTAGGGAAGCTAAAGCTAAGTTTGAAATTCTTCAGAAGAAAGCAGAAGAATCCAAAAAGGAGTTGGAAAAAGCAGTCACGACAGCTATTAAGAAAGAAACTGAAAAGGTTATTTGTTTGCACTCTGCACATCTTCTCTTTATATTTGTAGTTGTTTTTAAACTATTATATATTTATTCACATTTCTGCATAGATTAGTCATGATAACTCCCACATGATTTGTAAAATAACAGGCAGTTTTATTAAAAAAACAGAATTTTGATTTGCCCTCCAAGAAAAACAAACTAGCAATAAAAAAAGCGGTTGTCGAGTCAAAATAAAAAAAAAAAATGAAAGCAGCTACAAAAACTGTGGCTGCTGACTTATAAAAAATAGACACTCACCTGTCCCATGATCCAGTAGTGTCATCACCACAGCCTCTTTCATCAGTGTCCTGTGTCCTCGATGCTGGCAATTTCAGTGTGGACAACCAGCCATGACAGCTTGCGGCTTCACAGCCGGGTTCTCACTGTGCGCAGACGCTAGTAGCGCTGCACTTTGTGAATGGTCCCGTAGTCCTCTGTGACCTGCCATGTGTCCCAGAAGACTAAGGGGCGGGGAGGAGGACAACTTCCGCTTCCGATCGCAGCAGAAGTTGGAGCGGGGGTACCTGTCAAATTCAGGCATCCCCTCCTCCCCACTCCCCAAAGGTGCCAATCCTTAACGGGGAGTGTGGGACGAGACTTAAAGTGGAACTTCCCCTTTTGGGTGGAGTTCTGCTTTAAGGTACTGTACATCAATCTGATTGGTATTTGAGGACATGTGTTACTATGTGTTTAATTTAGGATCACAGTATAAGGACTATCTTCAATTCTGCATTGATGCCCCATGGACATTCATATTGTATTCTAAACAAGATTTACATGTTCTGCACTTGTTAGCTACATTGTGCATAAATTAAATTCCCTGAGCATCCTTGGCAGTATCCATGATGACTATTATGTGAAAAATATTGAGGGCCAGCCTGCTCCTTAAACATATATTTCTGCGGTTTAAATTCCACTATTATCATTTTAAATGGTAGAGATGTTTTTTTGTGATACAGATTTTGTAGTGTTTTGTATATAATATCTGACATTATCCCTATGTCTACCTGTTTTCACTTTTTTAAGCTTTGGATAGAGTGAGAAATTCACTCTATAACTGGCTTAGACACTGTCAGGTTTTTATTGCTTTGTCTTTACATGCTATTGTGTCCTCCGGACAGGAAATGAGGAGATAGCAGTAAAAGCATACCTACTAGTAAGTGGGGAAGGGTTAACGCCTGTGCCAAGTGTTTGTAATATCTGTGTCCATTTCAAGTGGTTATAAAATATTATGGCTATTGACCCTAAATGTATGGCAGTTTCTATTACATACCTGTTTACAGGTGACAACTTTCATTTAATTGCTATGCAGAAGAAATACCTTAAAACATACATTTGTATTGAAACATAAGTAGTCTGTAGAATGAAAGAAAACCTAAGTCTAAGCATTTTAGCACATATCTAAACAGTATGGTGATATTTTTATCCAGTCTGCTGCTGTTGAACAACTGGAAGAAAGCAGAAACAAGATAGAGAGCTTGCTAAATTGGCTATCGCAAACAGATGAAAAAGGAGAGAATGGGAACGTGGTACAGAAACCAGCGATCCAGCAAAATGGAACATATCATAAAGACAGCAAACTACAGTCTTTACTGGATGGTGTGGAAGAGGTTAATGGTAACCTAATAGAGTCTGATGGGAAAGTTAATAATGTAAGGTTAGAGGAAGTATCTAATGAAGATGACCTAAGCAGCCAGTATCAAAAAGTGAAGGTACAGTACCCGATAATGCTATTTATTACTACATCTTTTTTATTGAAAAGGTAGTATTTTCCATAATCTGTGATGTGATCAAATAAATGTAAATCTCAATTACAAGTAGTAATATTTCTCAAAGCATGGGATGACATATTTTTCTGCATACAGCTGACTTTCTATCTAGTAGTCATGTTCCAAGAAACTACAATCTTTTCCAGCCTAAAGTATTTAATATTGTACAATTATAGACTTCACTCAAACAAACAGAACGTCAATGGACAATGACATACCTCAGGATTTGCCTGTGCAAATTTTTGCTACTTGTATATTTATGACTACATTGAATAGCCTGTTTAAGTGTCTCGAAAGAGCAGGGCCCTCAATCCCCTCATGTTTTGCACTGTATTGGTTTATGTTCTGTCCCCCTCTGTAATGTACAGCGCTGAGCGAACTATTGGCGCTTTATAAATACTGTATAATAATAATAATAATAATAGTCCAAATTGAATGCAATATTATATCTGTGTAGTGACATTAAAAATAGAATCACTTTATTTATAGCATTGACAACGCCCCATGTCCACTGCCCTGGCAGAATCAATTTGTACATAACAATATCATTACATGTAGTGATCCAAACATGACAAAATCAAAGTACAAGTAAAAAATTATTGACCATCTATGATGCTGATATGTTGTGGGAGGACTATGGGCTGTGGGTGTTTTGTTGTTGGATGTATGAAGGATAGTTTTGTTTCCAAGGAAGAGATGGGTATTCACATGTGTTTATTTGCTTGGTGACCAGGGACTTTAAATCTCAACTCCAGACAAATAAAAAAATTCTTACAATGGGGCTGTGCCCGCACTGCAAGAAATAATTGCTTGTTTTCTCTTTGGGAGAGGAGAAACAGTTGTACTTAACCACTGCAATACCAGGCATTCTACCCTCTTCCTGCCCAGGCCAATTTTCAGCTTTCAGCGTTGTTGCACCTTGAATGACAATTGCGCAGCCATGCAACACTGTATCCATAAAAAAAAAAAAAAAAATTCTCACACAAATAGAGATTTCTGTTAGTGGTATTTAATCACCACTGCAAATAAATAACATTTCTTCATAAATTTAGGTCAAAATGTATTCTGCTACATTTTGTTTGGTGAAAGTAACCCAAATTAGTATATATTATTTAGTCTGTAGGAAAGTTATAGAGTCCACAAACTATGGCATATATATATATATATATATATATATATATATATATATATATATATATATATATATTTGACAATCGATCAATACTGATGAACTGATGGCCAATCTCATTTCTTGAGGCCAGAAAATGCCAGGATAGTACAATACAGTGTTATTATGTAGGTGGTGACAGTTTGTAAAAAAAAAGAAAAAATTTTTTTTTTTCATTTTTTCTTTTCTTTTTTTTTTTTATTACATTTTCTTTCTTTCTTTTTTTACATTTTTTTTCAACACACTGTGACCAGAGCAATACAATGTTACCATAGTAACATTGTACTACTCTGGGCAAGTGAGTACAGTTTTTTTTACACATTATGATTGCTTATACCAATAAGTATTTCATTTATATTAACAACCATGTTTACTGAATGAAACTGATTCATTCAGTGTTGTTTGTTGTAATTAGCTGTGATTGGCCAAAGCTCATCATATGGTACAGATGGGCTGTGATTGGCCCTGTCTATACCATGTGACCACTGTGACCAATCACAGCTAACAACACAATTGTATACAATGGATGGCATGAAAGGAAGCCATCCATTGTATACAATTGTCATGTGATTTGCTGTGATTGATCACAGCAATCACATGACACTGGCAGCGGGTCGGTGTAGTGATCGGTCATTGGCTGTGTCCAGTGGACACAGCTGGTGGCAGATCAGGCCGCTGCATGGCTATTTGAGCAGTGTCTTCTGCCAGGATATCATATGATGTCCTTTTAGAAGGAGGAGTGTTCTGCCCGGCTATCAGTCAGCTATATGCTGGGCGGGAAGGTGTTAAATGATCACTCCCCTGGCAAGCAGTTCTCCTCCATGATGCAGCAGTGTACTCACGTCCAAAGCAGGGCTATGGTCCCTGCTCTGGTCTTGATGATGTTAGGACCCTAGACTCGTGGAGCATGGGGTGCAGACATTGTAGGTACTGGTCTAGTTCTGGGGAAGAGCAGAGGATCCAATAAATAAACCCTTTTTTTTTACTCCCCTAAAAAAATTGAACAACCCTTGCAGTGCTGGCACAGTCCCACTGCAAGGCATATTTTTTTTTTTTTGCCAGAGTTGGGCTTTAAAGTAGAATTCCAATCAAATGCTAACTATACCTACCCTGTAAAGGAAAGAAGTCTATACTTCTGAGGGCTCTCTAGCACAATCACATGATCGGCTCCCAGTGTTGGCTTTACTGTAGATGAAAGACAGCCGACAACGGATTTCCCATAGTAAGTCTATGGGTGACGTCATGACCTGGGCTCTGCAGCCATTGTTGGTGATCTTTTCTCTTCACTGGAGATATCATGTGACCAAACAGGAGCACCCTTAGAATAGGTATGTATACACATCTTTCCTTTACAGTGCAGTTAAAACAGGCTTAGAATTAGGGTGGGAGCAGGTTTAAGATCAGTTAGTATTTTAATGGGATTCTTCTTTACGCTGTGAGCCATAGGTCTCATAATTACTTGTGGGTTAGGGTTGTAGGATGTTGTTATGCATCTTATGTATTCTTTTTTAAATATCTCCAACATCTCCCTTTAACAAATTGTCTAGGCCCAACATGAAAAGCTTGTATCTCAGCATCAGGCCGTTATAATAGCAACACAATCAGCACAAGCTCTCCTGGAGAAACAAGGTCGCCACCTCACTCCTGAAGAGAAGGAAAAGCTTCAGGGAGATATAGAAGCATTAAAAGCCCAATATGAGTCAGCTTTAAGCGACTCTGAAAGAAAAATGAAGGTAATCCAGACAGTGCAAGAAGAATTGGAGAAGTTTTCTAAAGATTATAATGAATTTGAGAATTGGCTTCAGGACTCAAAGCATGAACTGGAGTATCTAGAGATTGGGGCTGAGAACTTTTCTGGTGTTTTGGACAAATTGCAAAAGCAAAAAATCTATTCAGAAGATGTGATCTCTCACAAAGGGGACTTACGTTACATCACTATATCTGGACAGAGAGTACTAGATGCTGCAAAGCCTTGCAACAAAGATGATGTTGTGGAAGATAATAATAATGTCAGCACCCTGGAAACATGTAAAATGGTTCAAAGCAAAATAGACTTGGCTTCTGAAAACTTCAAGTCTTTACATACTAAGGTAGGTTTACTTTTGTATTATTTATAACTACAGCGTAAAAAGAAAGTAATGAAATGAACATCATGCCAACAGATAATTTGTATGCTAACAGATAATAAAGGAAAAAAAGTCCTATAACTTTTTTTATTCTCAAATTAGCTCTGCATATAATAAATATTACATTTCTGAAGCTGGCCCAATTGTGCTGGGGGTTTCAGAATATAGCTCCATTCTTGTCTCTAGTTTTGGGATAAACTGAAGTATATAAAGTAAGTGATAAAGTCCCCATTTGCTAAAGTCTTGTAGGTCAGTAGACTGTTTGACAATCTTGAAATCTTGCTTCAGTTGCTTGGAATCAGTGATTACTGTGCTTGTAATTTTAACTTCTGTATCTGCTAAACAGGAAGGATATAAGAAAAGCTGTAAAGCGTAGATGTCTAAAATAATTTCCATTTTGTTGCAGTTGTTTGTGCATACTAATCAAATATTTGGAGTGCTGTGCTTGTGTTGTGTTAATTTGATAAAATACAAACCATTGCTTTTGTAATTCTTCTTCATAGTGCAATGTCCTGGGGAATAACCTGAAGGATCTAGTGGACAAATATGAACATTATAAGGAAGCATCACATGGGTTACTGGCAGGTCTTCAGAGCTCAGAATCCAATGTGGAAAAACGCCTGTCTGAACCTATTGCTGCTGACAGCAGGAACTTGCAGAGGCAGATAGAAGAAACAAAGGTAAACTATATTTTACACACGTGATTCTTTTGTCAGCAGTATAAGTAAGGATATTCCTTAAGAACCTGCTCATAATATTCAAGGTTATAGCCAAAATATGCAACTAAATAAATGAGTTACCCTGCAGTGCTGGTCATACACAAGTTAAAGTGGTTCTAAAGTCAAAACGGTTTTTACCTCAATGGATTCTCTGTATTAAAGTGGACTACACTGTATCTGAGCACCACAAACCAAAAATACTATTTATTCATTTTAAATATACAAAGAAAACTCCTCATCCATCCATGTCTCCATGCTTTATTTTGTTGAGAAATCACTTTGAAAAACACCCTCTAGCTTTTCTTGAATGAGGGCAGATGATTCATGGGACATTCGCTTCCTGGTGTCCATCTGCCCTTAGCTTAGGAATGCAGGCAGGAAGGTGCGTAGGTTATATAGAGAGTTGGTGTGTTTTAAAGCTGCCCTCTGGGAATGAGATAAAATCTACTTTTGCAGTGGGGCTCCCTGCACTGACTAATTCAGTCTAGGTTGTATTGCATGTATAAGACATAATACCTACCTTATTCTTGTCTTCAGCGGGCTTCTTCAGTCTATGCAACCATTCCCTCGTAGCATCCTCTTGAAGCAACTTCAAGCTGCTGTTACACACTTGCCTCCTCACGTACAATGCAGGGTTTATAGCGCTTCACTGTGTGTGATTACTCCGTGGGACCACTCATAGCCTAGCGACAGTTTGGAGCTTGAAGACAGTGCCGGAGTCTCCTAGAGTGAGGGACTGGGTAAGTAATACACCTTCTATCTGCACCCTTAGACTGTGCATTTAATTCTTGCTGTGCAAGGGGCCACACTGCAAGGCAAATCCAGAAATTTGCTTTAACGTATATCTATACCCAAGATATTTTAGTTTTGGATAGAATGGGGAAAGGTTAGAAACCTTGTCAGGTTTTACTGCTATATGGGGCTCAAATAGAGAGATTTCCCCTCACAATAAATGTCTGACAGGGGTCCTAGCATTACCTTACCTAAATGAAAAAAAATGTTTACATATGTCTATGTTGCTGTTAGTGAGATTTCCCCTTACTTCCTTTTCTGGGGACAACTTTTTTTTAACCAGACAGAAAGCGGAAAAGGAATCTATCCAATGGAGTCTTCAACCACAGTAAAACTGGAGTGCTAATCCTTCCCCACCCTATTTAGACCTGAAAAAAAAAAGTTTTGGCTATATATAAACTTTAAGTCAACTAAGTAGATCATTTAATGAAGTTGTGCAAATAAATAGCTGTATTGTTACGATACAAACACAGAGTCTGTATTATCCTGCTCTCCTTTGCAATGACCAAGAAGATACTGAGACAAAATATTTCTACATCTGTCCTACATATGTGTTCTGCTTTTCACAACTGCGTGCCTCTAACACATAGAATGAAGATATAGGCAGGGAGTAGATAAACATATGCAGAAGTAGCCTGCTTCTTGCAGTTTGTGCTCTCTAGTGGTAAGATAGGTGTAATACAGCACAGAAATATTTCTATTGTAAAGGATAGGTTCACCTTTACCAACATGTTACATTCGTATTCAAGGTGTAACATGTAACAGAGCTTCTTCCCCCTGTGACAGCGAGCAGAGGTTCTTATGCCTGCACAGTCCCATCATCCATTTACAGTGATCCACTAGGGAAGATGGACTTGTAGGTCTCTATGGATTCCGGAGCATGCTGATCAGCTCCCTCATACTCCATTGACACTTCCTGCAGTTCAGTTAACTGTCTGCCTATACAGTGCGACATTCAGATAGCTGAAGACAGTCTTTGCAGAAGCCTGACAGTGCACCTGTGATCCACTGATGGGTGCAATGCTTGGCAGGCTCCTTTGTAAATAAATAAGTACACTTTTTTTTTTAACATGCAAAATCATGTGCGTTTATTTTTTATTTTTTTTTTAACTAAAGGTGAACTTAGCCTTTAATCATATAGTACACAACTATGCATTACATGCTATACAAGTCCAGGGCCCTGGTTCATCACCATGGACCAGAAGACCCCTTCAAGGGTATCCTATCTACTGTCCAGCAATTTGCATACCTTAGAGTACAGTACAGGGCACACAACATCCTCCCTAAACTCTCCTTCTTACTCTGCTTTGCTTGCTACAAAACTGGGGACTCATGGACTGGGGTAAGGTTACAGTGTCTTTAAAAGCTTGCCAGTGTCCAATCATCTAAAGGTATGAGCCTATGATCCAGGGTCTACGAATAACATGCCTGTGACCTGTATTGTACTCTAGGGGGTGGAATGTACAGGCATGTCAAAATTCCTCTCTTATAACTATTAGCACTGAAAAGTGCATCAAATAGGTGTATGGAGGGGCTGCCTTCCATGTGATTAGTACTTACAATACAGACATATACACACACACGCTGAATGTAAACAGTGCAATAGCACAAGGAAAGAAAAGGCAGATAAGAGATTATATTTGCAAAGTTGCTTGCTTGGGTTAAATGAGCTAATGTGTTTCAAGATTGCAGCTTTCATTTAACTAAATATCAAAACTTTTATTCACATACAGACCAGATTTGTTTCTTTTTTTTTCTTTTTTGTAAACTGGTACATTTTTTGTATCAATCTGTGTGTAATACTTATCTTCCTAACACATTATGCTTCTTTTTAGTTGCTCTGTGAGCAGGTATCTGTCCACCAGGTTGGTGTGGAGAAGCTAAAGAAGGCTGCAGAAGGTCTCCTTGATGCCAGAGGAGGGCTCCTGTTAAACAAAGATGAAATCCAAAAGCCACTTGGTACTAAATTTATTTTTACAATTTACTGTTTGTTTCACTATATTGTAATATCCAGGTAGGCAGCAGAACAGCAAATGAGTGGAAATCTTTCCAAGAGAGACAAAGCCAACAATAGAAGAATTTGTTTTAGTAAAGTTGAAAAGGGTTAAGGCCTCTTGCAAATGCACACCTGAACCCATGCAGCATACATTTTCCCCTTCTTTAAAGCTCAGCTGCTGGGTACAACCGACCCTAGATGTGAATGGCTGTGTGTGGCCGAACTCCGTTATATACCAGTCCTTGCATAAACACTCATACAGTATATCATAAAGACATATCCAAAAATGGAAAATTTTGTATTCTTGGAAAATGTCTTTATGCTAAACTCATGTTTATGGAAGCACAGATGCATACACGAGTACAGAAAATTTTGAATAATATCATAGTAAAAAAATGGTTTGTCTGTAATCATATGTTTGATACAGTTCAATTAAAATGGTTGTAAAATCTTGCATATACTCATGAAGCGACTTGCCTCATGTTATACACTGTGATGAAACAAATCCTCCTACATAAGTTGGACCTGTCTATCTGCAGTCTTCTCTTCTGTACATCCATTCATAGTCCAGAATTTATAAAGCTTGTCAGCAAAAAGGGAGCGGAGATCTGAAATTACACTCTGCAGAGCTCAGTGAGGGGAGCTCTGGGAGCCGATTGACCGATGGACCCCCCCCCCCCCCATCCACACAACTCACAGTAACAGAGCTAAGGCTGTCAATCTGCTGGAGGTCCCTTCCCCTTTCTTGGTGTAAGGAAAACTTATCAGAAGTGATTCATGCTGATAGCAGAGGAACGATACAGCAGGCAGCAATGACATTTAGTGCTCGTAATACAGACAAGTGCACACTTTAGAGGGATATGCTTTATTCCATTTCATGTCTGAGGTTTGCTACCATTTTAATTTAAATTCTTCTGTTAATGTCACAGCCTGGTTAAAAGACAAATATTGTGTGGGTCCAACACTGTTTCTGTTTTATAGAAGCAGTGATAGTCTTTTAATTTATTTGTTTTTATAGCCTTGTGCAAAGCATGCCGGTTGGTCTCAACATAAATGTCAATATGCATGTTCCTACTGCATTATTCTCAACCTTCGCAACCTTCAATTTCGGCCTGGTGTTTTAAGAGACAGTGAGCCAATACCCTTCTCATAACACATCAGCTTGTTGCTAAAAGTACACTGGGCTCTACTGATCTTTATACACTCGGGGGATGTGGGGGAATGTATGGTTTTAGGACTTTATCTATAAATTCGAGAAATAATTGGGCATTTGTAGTGATCTATTTGTAGCATAGTATGAAGATATATTGTGCACTTTCTGTTTGGTAAGCTCACCATAAGAATTAGACTTTTGTACAGAGAACAGTAGGAGTCAGATAAAATTTTCTACTAGCCTGATTAATGTTTTCTATCCAAATGCTTTGGTTTACAGCTGTTTTCACTCTGTGCTCTGAAAATTGACCCAAGACTGCTTTAAGCCCTCATTCACACTCAAGCATTTTGTAGCTTGAAGTTAAAAAAGCTGAATCCCATGCTTTTAAATTGTCCCTGTTTGTCTATAGCTCAATGCCTGAAGCTCCAAATGGTCCAAGTGCTACTTCTAATGCAGAATGGGGAGTTTCTGTCTCCACTGACTTTAATAGAAGTATGTGAAAAAACATGTAAAAACAAGTGTTTTCAGGCGCTCCAATAATAAAAGTCTATAAGTGCATACCACATAAAAAGCTCCCCTATGGCTGTTCACTTCTAAAAACATGCAATCATACAGTATATGCTACCCTAAAGTGTGAATGGGAGCTTAAATATTTTGTGGTACTCCTATAGGATTTTTTCACTTACATATTACAAATTTCTTTTGCAGATGACATTGTGGGAAAATACAATAATTTATCTCAGTCTTTGAATGACTGGAATGAGAAACTCCAGATAACTCTTACTCGCTCACTTAGTGTTCAAGATGGACTAGATGAAATGTTTGATTGGATGCAAGGGGTGGAAAAGGACCTGAAAGAACAACAACATGTACCATTAAATTCCTCATCTATTCAGGAAATTATTACAAAAAACAATGTAAGTGTGTGTATCATGTTAGAGAAACATAGGACATTTCTGCTGTTATTAGATTTTATATGAACAAGTAATAGCTTTATGCTTTTAGATTCTGAAAAGTCAGATATTTAGGGATTGGTTTCAGTAATTGTCCCCCACCGCATTCATTGTCCTCCCTGTGCACCATACGTTTCCCCCTGCTGCTCCCCCCCACCATGTGCCCCCACCCCCTCAGTGCTGCCAGCTTCCCTCCTCTCCTTCCCACCGGCAGCTGCAAGCACACAGTAGGATCCCTGTGGTTTAAAGCCTAGTAGACATGATGAGAAAATCAGACAACAAAAATACCACATTTGGAGTGATTGTCCAAAAATCTGATCGTTAGTACACAGCTTTTGAAAGCCAATTACGACAGGTCATGCAGAATTATATGAATGGACAAGCACGAACATTTTCTCGTGCGATAACAGAACAAAAGATTTTCATTTAATCAGTACAGTATTCGTCCAAAGAAAAATGACTTAGACCACGCATGCTTGGAAACAAAAGAATACATTACAATACATTACAGCTCTTCGTTTTCGATATATAAGAGACTAGCATGCATAAAAAAAAAAACTGTCATTTTTCTGATATTCTCATCGTGTGTATGAGGCTTAAGTCACCTGTTTAAAAATAATTAACCAAAATATCACATTGGTTTTATGTGTTATATTCTATTTAAACATCTAAATATTAATCTGGGATTATTGTTAAAAGTAGGAAGCTTCTCGAGAAAATTATGTTATCTTTGTTTAGCTAGCAAAACTCCATTACCTTAAATTGGTGGTCGGCAACTTATTGATCGCGGTCTACCAGTTGAATGCAGATAGGTGACAGGTAGATCACAATCAGGTCTCTGCTTTTCCCACCCTCAAGTTCTAGCAGCTTAGAGCTCTTCAGCCAGAAAACAGTCAAAGCGCATCCTAGGCTGTAAAGGCATTACCTACTCTACCGCATGCCCTTTGCATACGTGTGGCTGCGGGGTACCACCTAGGATGCTCTATCAGCTTGGACATCTGTGCTGTGAGCCTTGGATTTGTGGTGAGGCTGTCTCAAAAGTACTGCTCGGGAAAGTCTGGGCTCTTTTACACTAGGGTCTAGTGTTCTGATCCCTGCCGGCCCTCCTCTACAGTCCATCCAAAGTGCTTGTCTGTGTTATGCCATGACATGGGATGAATGAGAGAGGAATGCCAGTGGTGATCAGCGTACCACATCAGGTTGATCTACCAGAGCAGCTTCCCTGTTCCACTCTGCATCAGGAAACTGCTGCTGTCCTCTCCTGACTTCCCTGTACCATGCCCTCTTGACCCCCAGTACCATGCCATCCTGACCCTCAGTACAGTGCCCTTCTGACAACTGTGTATCATTCCCTACTGACTTGTGTGTTCGGTGCCCCCCTGATCTCTGTGAACCATGCCCTCCTGGCCTCTGTGGACCATGTCCTCCTGACCTGTGTGTTTGGTGCCCCCCTGACCTCTGTGGACCATGTCCTCCTGACCTCTGTGGACAATGCCCTCCTTACCCCCAGTATCATGCCCTCCTGACCCTCAGTACAGTGCCCTTTTGACATCTGTGTACCTTTCCCTCCTGACCTGTGTGTTTGGTGCCCCCCTGCCTCTGTGGACCATGTCCTCCTGACCTCTGTGGACCATGTCCTCCTGACCTCTGTGGACCATGCCTTCCTTACCCCCAGTACCATGCCCTCTTGACCCTCAGTACCCTGCCTTTCCGACATCTGTGTACCATTCCCTCCTGACCTGTGTGTTTGGTGCCCCCCTGACCTCTGTGGACCATGTCCTCCTGAGCTCTTTGGACCATGTCCTACTGACCTCTGTGCACCATGCCCTCCTTACCCCCAGTACCTTGCCCTCTTACCTATGTTTTCATTGCCCTCCTGACCCCCCAGTACCATTTCCTCCTGACCTCTGTGTACCCTGACCTCCATGCACTGTGCCCTCCTGCCCCCCAGTACCATGCCCTCCTAACCCACAGTATCATGCCCTCCTGACCTCCGTCAACTGTGCCCTTCGGACCACCCCATTACTGTACTCTCCTGGCCCATCTGTAATGTGTCCTCTTGAACCTCGTGTACCCTGCTCTCCTCACACCTCCAGTATCATGCCCTCCTGACTTCTTTGTACTGTGCCCTCCAGACCTTGAGTCTTACCAATTCCCCAAGTACTGTGTTCCCCTTATCTCCCAGTACTATGCCCTCCTGACCCCCCCCCTTAGTACTGTGTCCTCATAACCTACTTGTACCATGCTCTCCTGACCCCTCTGCACACAGCACTGCTGTACTCTACACTGCTAATACCCTGTCTTCTGCCTTGTTACCCTTGTTCTCTGCCCTACTAATCCCTGTACACTGCCCTACCTACTACTGACCTCTGTACACTCCCCTACCTACTACTGACCTCTGTACACTGCCCTACCTACTACTGACCTCTGTACACTACTCTACATCCTACTTGACCTCTCTACATTGCTCTACATACTACTGACCCCCTGTACACTACCCTAAATACTAGTGACCTCTGTACACTCACCTACAAATTAGTGACCTCAGTACACTGCTCTACATATTTGTGACCTCTGTACACTGCCCTATAGACTAGTGACCTCTGTACACTGCACTACCTACTAATGACCTCTGTACACTGCTCTACATACTACTGACCTTTGTACACTGCAATACCTACTCCTAAAACCTTTGGACACCGCCCTACATACTACTGACATCTGTACAACACCCTACATTCTACTGACCTCTGTACACTGTCCTACATACAACTTACAGTAGCGAGAGCTAGGAGCACACAATCAAGCTAGCTTTGAGGCCAGCAAGGCCTAAAATTAGTCAAGCAAGTCAACCTGCAGTTTCAGTGGTTCTGCCTTGTCTTGTGAGAGTGACCAGTTACTCCCCAGACATGAAAAAATTGTGAATGAAAGCGAATGTTGAGTTTCTTGCTGAAGTTAACATTCAAGTTTGGCTAGGTTTATTATTTTACAGTAACGTGTTTTATTAGATTTTCCTAAGATTTATTCTTGCCGTCTTAATCTCTTATGGAGGACATGCTAGTTAATTTATTTCTTTAAAAAAAAAGGGGGGGGGGGGGCACCCCAGTGATCTTTAATCTCTTTGATGTTAGATTTCCACCCTTGAATGGTTGCATACCCCTGCCTTATATCTTGTAAGCCTGCTACCTGTACAGATAAATTATTATTAATGTTATATATGCATTGTCTTGTATGCTTAGCATTAACTGCTTATGTAAAATACAATTTTATTGCTGTTTCCTGTTATAAGATGCTTGAACAAGACATCACAAGTCGTCAGAGCAGCATTAATGCAATGAATGAGAAAGTGAAAAAATTTATGGAGACAGCAGATTCCTCCACTGCATCTTCACTGCAAGGAAAAATGAATGAACTGTGTGAACGTTTTTCTAAAGCTGGTGAACTTACTAAAGCACGCCTAAAGAAAATGGAAGACTTAAAGACCCAGGTGGAACTGTTTGAGGACCTCACTGAGAAAGAGCAATCATTCTTGGACCAAACATTAAAGGCACTGATCGAGGCAGATAGTCCTGGAAAGGATGTGACAGAGCTGTCTCAGTACTTGCAGGTACAGCATGTCTTAAACATACCAATTTGTTGTTACCTGGTAGATAAAGCTGGAAAACAAGCATCCATAAATGTCAATTCTTCTGAAATTGTTTTTCATAAATAGGTAAAACAATGTTTCAGTGAGGTAGGTATAAACCTCAGACTGGAGAAAAAAAAATCCCCTCTATGACCCTATTAGTAGCTGCCTGATTACAGTATTTCCCTGGATCAGTAAGGTATCTGATCAATCCTGCTAATTATAGCTGGAGATGCCATTAAATCCACATTTAAGTTCAATTATACTGTTGAACATCACCACCTCACTTGACAGAGAGATCAATCACCCTTACAGCTTCATCCTTCTAGAAAGTTATGAACAGTTTCGAGTTTGTAACTTTATGTGAAAGAAAAATAGTTCTTCTTACCCATAGCAACCATTATGTTTTATTCAGCCTTCCTATACACATCAATGCAGGAAAGTTGCTGCTGGAGACAATAAATAGTTGTCATAATTTTGTTTAATAAGTACAATGACCCATTTTAGTTTAATCTGCTTTCATTTACTTAAACTATCCAAAGTGGGACAGCCATCGACAAACCAGGTAAGTCACAAAACTGCATACATAACAAGTGAAGAAAATAAGATAACCCTTTTCTGTTACAGGAAACAAGCAATGAGCTACAGGAGCACAAGAGAAGAGCCTGGAGGATTTACACAGACTGGTAGAAGAATTGTGTGTACATGGGCTCCCAGGAGACAAGGTCCTGGTTTTGGAAAAAGTGAACTCCTTGTCAAAAATGTTCAAGGATCTTGAAGAGACTGTTAGAGCAAAGTGAGTGCAGTCATATAACAATAAACTTAGTCCAAAACTGGCTTGAGTGAATGCCAATGTTTTCAAAGCACATGACTACAGACACTACCAATAATGTCAGTCATGATTAGAACTGAGACATTCAATTGACACTAAATAGTGCTAGCCTTCTTTAGATGCTATGGTCAAGCTTTCCCCCACAACACATTTTCCATTTCATTTATGGAGAGGTCAGGGAGGACTATAGATAACTGTTGAAGTAATGACCATAGTTCTATGTTTTAAATAGAATAGGTACAGTATGTGCTAAAACCTTTCATGTGTTTAATGCTGTTTGTGTCCAAGCAAGCAACATTTCCATCTGCAATCTGTTCTGGTGGGCAGGCCATGGATAAGGGGGTACCACTAGTCCTCCTGCATGGGGCCCATGCCAGCAGGAGGGCCCAGGCAGCTGGGTGAATTGGATATGGGCAGGGAGGATGATCAGCACAGTGAGGAGGAAATTACTGCAACAGATCCCCTGTATGCAGCAGCAGCTGAAAGTTGGCTTCTCCTCCTCTCCCTCTTCTGGCTTTCTGCTGCTGCAGAGAGAGCCATACATGGGATCAGATCTTCACCCATCACCCTCCCTGTGCACCATATGTTTCCCCCCGCTACCCAGGCTCCCCTGTGTGCCTCCACCCCGCAGTACTGCCTGCTTTCCTCCTCTCCTTCCCACCGACAGCTGTAAGCACACAATATGATCTTTTAGGATGGAGAGTGGGGGTAGGGTCCAGTAAATATGTCACATTTTACCAGTACCTTTCTTTTCTTAATGAACACATCAGGATAACAAATGAGAGGCATTAGGGGTGTAACTAGAACCTTCAGTGCCCTTGGGCAATAAACTATGAACGACCCCCCTCACCGCGTCCCGGGGCCCTTTCACTGGTCCCAGGGCCTTCCTACTGATTTCAGGGCTCTTTAACCCCATTGCAGGGCCCTTTATTATGATCCTGCAGCAGGACCATTTCACATGTTCTGCAGCGGGACCCCTTCCTGCAGAGCTGCCAACCTTTCCAAAAAAAAAAATTCAGGGACACCTTCTTTTTTGCTATGTGTTCTGTCAGCCATTTTAGGTGGAGAATGTACCAACATCTTTGCACCAGCCATACGCATATATGCGGCCTCTCGGTGGGTGGGTCTTAAAGCCAAGAGGCTGCCTATATGTGTACCAAAATGTCAATAAAGCTGTGCTGAGGGCACATTCCCAGCAGTTACCGGCAGGTAATGGAAAGTAGAGGTCAGGAGCTTTATAATCATGTGACCAAAATCTCTGCCTCCGGATCCTGACATCTGAAACCTCTTAAAGTGCCGGGTGGTGCTGGCATTAATGTGTTAATTAGGGGTGGGACATAAAATGGACATGATTCTACTAGAGCTACCTAATGCCATACCCCTTTGCACATCTCTACACCCCCCAGAATGCCTCTGTACCCCTCAGCATGCCTCCATACCCCCAGCAAACCTCTGTACCCCCTTGCACATTGCTGAACCCTTTACATGTAGCTCTGCACTTCTCAGCATCCTTCATACTCCCCAGCATACCACTGCACACACCCCCAGCACACCTCCGCCCCCCCCCCCAACACACACACAAACACACATTTATGCACCACCAACCTTGTACCTTGTACCTTGGTCTATTTTTTGGCTTGCCTTCCACTTCAATTCTCATGCAGCATATCAAAAACATTAGTGGATAACTAGTTGTAATTTACAAAAAAGGTGGGTTTTACTAGGTATTGCGTTGACTCGCCCTTTTTAGAATGAAATGCAGAATGATTGACCCATTATTTATAAGGGTTTCTTGTAATTGTATTCATTTTTAGGGAAGAGGATGTATCCTCCTGTCAAAGTCAGATGGACTCTTTCCAGTCTTTGGTTCAGTCTTTGAAACACTGGTTTACAACAGTAAATGATAAAATTCCTCCAGAAGCACTGACTCTGTGTTTGAAAGATCTGACTGAACGTCTAAAAGAAACTAAGGTGAGATCTTACATGTTGGAAACTTAGAGGTGGAAATGGGTACAGTAAAACTCTAAATTGTGAGCTTAATTATCAATTTTAAATATTTTCAGAATTTGCAAGAGGACTGGACACAAAAGTCACCAGAAGTACAAAAAGTAAACAGCAAAGGAACATCATTGTGCAGCTTGATTGCTGCAGTGACCTCACCTGCAAAGACCAGATCAACCGCCAAATCGGGTATGTAGCCAAATGACAATATAAAATTGAAGTATATTATTTACATATCCCAGTGCTGTACTAAACAAAGGCATACCTATACTATACAATTTACATTGTAATAGACACAAATCCTATTGAACAATAGGAATGAGAGCCTCTTCCCAAAGAGCTAAGGCTCCATGTACACAGGACACTTCTGAACAATGGAAACTGACTGCTGGAAATCGTAGGTTAAAAAAGTATGTTTAGCCTCGTTTGCATACCGCGTTTATGCGTGTTTATGAGCGTTTGCGTTTAGAAGCGTTTTTTTTAAAGATAACCTCAGGAGACCTTCCAAAATGCCCAGAATGCACTGAAAAACAGTACAAAAATTAACTATTTCAGACATTTTGAGAAAAATAGAGCAGAAGCAGAGAGAGCAGTATTTGTTGAGATTAGCTGTCTTTTTTTTTGTGATGTTTGGATGTGTTCCAGCTCATTTCTGTGCAGAAATTATTGCAGCAGTGTCTAACATATTTTCTTTCATGCGAAACCTCAAAGTACTGTGTACCAGGTCAATTTGAGTACCGGGAAAACTGTTTGCATGCATTTTTCATGATGAAAAAAGGCTCTGGGCAGCATCTGGAAATGGAAGAGTTACAAAAATTTTCCAAACACAAATGCTTATAAATACGGTTAGCTGCGTTTAGCCGTGTTTACAAGCGTTTGGCGTTGAAACGCTGATAAAATCTACTCCTGAATGCATGTTTGGTGCCTTCAAAAAAACGACTGTAAACTCAACTGCCTGTAAACAACTGTAAACGACTGTGTACATGGACACATAGGAAAACATTAGGGAAAGTTCAGGGGCTGCTGAAAAAATTGCAGAAAAGCTCCTAAACGTGAGTTTATCAGCTGTAGTGTACATGGAGCCTAACAGTCTACAAGCTGGAAAAAAGACAAAGAGGAAACAGAAATTTAACGGTTTTGTGTTGAGTTGTAGATTTTATAGTTTAACTGTGAAAATAATCTGGGTCAAGTACATGGTAGGTGTGAGATTATACAATCAGGCAATTCTAACTTTATTTATAGCTTAGTTTTCAAGAGTTTTGTAACTTCATATTTTAAAGTTTTATAGGGAGTACAATAATTTAACCATATTTCTACTGCAGTATGGTATAATACCATCATCTACCATGTTCATGTTAGCAATCCAGAAAGCAAGATGCTGGGTGCCTGGGTCCATTTAGACCTCAACCTTTTTCAGTTAAGTTCAAGGCTACATGTTTTGTGTAATATTTATATTTATCGCTTTGCATAGTAGGAAATGTACATACATCGTTGAATAGCTTTTACTATAAATTGCTTCCTTTCTAAGTCTACAAATTAAAAAATGTTTGCTTATGATTTTTTCTTTTTATAGGTAGGGGCCTGGTGAATGGATCAGCTTCATCTGCTGTTAAAGAAAATTTAACAAGTAAAGGTAAGGCACTTCAAAACTTGGGAAATCAGTGATTACACAATATGTATTTATGTCCTGCATAACTTGAAGAGCATAAAAACAAGTAGAAGAGCTTAAAGAACTAAAAGCCATCCATGACCTCTCTAGCTGATTTTTATGTGAAGGTATGTATTTTTAAAGATCCTCTAAGATCACAGCCAAGACTCTATAGTGGGGTTTCAGTAAGTTTCTAACAACTTAGAAAAACCTGCTGCTTGTTTACATTGGAACCCTGGCGCTATATAAACTCAATGTAATGTAATGGGTGGCAGCCTGTCAGGATTTGCTCTCAGTAAAAACAAAGCTGAAATGTCAGTGTCTGTATTGTGAACTTAAATTAATTTTCTCAGCAATGCTTACAGATACAGATATGAGTGAGTTTCTTTTAAGGCCCTTTAAAACTAGAATGCAGTGTGGGTAAACTGTGTTCCCATTCGGCTTTCCGCACCGCATTCCAGTCGCAGTGCCCTTGCCCACACCCCAAACGCAGTTTGCAAATGTGGAGTGTTTGCCCACACCGGATCGCATGGTACAAAAGTACTATACTATCTGGTTGTCGTCTGTTTGAAAATGTATTGCATGCATTACTTTTGATGTGGTGTGGTGCAATTTCAGCCCATTCAAATTTAATGGAACTGAAATTGTACGGCACAGAAATGCATGTGAATTGCACAGTGTTCCTGTGTAATTCATATGCAGTTTCTAGTGTTAAAGGGTCCTTAAAGAAGTGCTTTTACTGATTGTTAAGAATACTTAAATGCTTTAGTGTGCATGATCTGGGCACAGGTTCATTTTAAAATGACATTGTCATGGCTTACAACATTTCTAAGATAACATGATCACTAAAGAGCAGGCACCATGTGTTGCCTATATGTATAAATGTCAGCCTCCAAACTTTCAGTGAGCAGTAGAGCCACTGCCGTTTGACAGAAGAATTACCTTTGGGCTTACCACCTGAAGAGGGTGAAGCTTAATATCAATGTGGACAAGAAGGAAAGTCCCCTGAACTGCCTTAATCTAGGATCAAAGGAGCTCCATAGGAACTTTTAGGCATCATACGTGCACTTAACTACTGTTTTACTGGTAGAAATTTGTAAGTAAAGTGATGAAAACTCCACATTTGTGAATTTGCCATGCATATTGTTAAGTCTTCTAAATAACCACTAGATGGGTATGTTGTCAAGTCGGTATGATAAACTAGCCGCAGGGTCTTGCTACTAGAACTGTGATTTGAACGTTCTTGCAGTTCTTTCCAGTTCTTACATGGACTAGTTAATATGCTGTTAAGATTTGATTAATTAATAATTGAGATTTGTTTTGTTTGTTTAGAATTTATCTGTCATTTTTAAATGTAATGCAAATATAGAATGCAAATATTTGCCCTAGAGCTTCTGTGTTGGCTAATTGTTAGAACTAATTTTATTTCATTGCTTCAGTGAGTTGCTAACTCTAAACTCTCATTTCTGTTTTTGTTTACCCCTTATTGCAGTAGTAGTTCATTGTAATGTGAATTTTCAGAAAATAGATTGTTTATCACACTTTATTCTGCAGTGCTTTACAAACAATGCGGTCCAATTAGTTTAGGCCCTTCTTCTGTGGAGTTTATGGCTTTAATCATATCATAGTTGTACTAAAACATACACATTTTAGGGACCGTTTATGTACCCCTATGGTTTGTAAATAGGAAACTCACACAAACATTGAGACAACTTTGAGGCCCAAACACTGAGCAAAATAATATTTTTACACCATAAATTAGTGATGCTTACAAACAAAGTTTGCAGACATCATTAAAAGAGGCTGTATGCTCAAGGTACTTCAGTTTTTAAGGGGGAAATATGCCCGACGCCTTATGTCGAACAATGATTACGTTTATCTGCATAATGTTGCTTTTTTCTTCTAAATAAATAACCAAGAGTTAAGTTGCTGTATAATAGGATATTTTTATGAATTTTATGTTATACATTTTATATTTGTGTGTATAGTATTTAAAATAACACTGTTAAACAAAAGATTTTTCCTGTTCTGTAGAATTGGCTATAGTGCAGAAGGGAATGACAGATGTAAATGAAGGCTATGAACATTTGGGAAAATTATTGAAAGACAAAATGAGTGAACTGGAGGCTCGACTTTCTCAGCTACAGCAAATCCAGGATGAAACCAACTCGTTAGTACAGTGGCTTGAGAAAATGCACACAACTGCTACATCATGGGAAGCCCCTACAGATAGCGAATCGGTGCGAGCCCATGTTGAGCAGCATAAGGTACTTTATAAATTGTTTTGATTCTAAACAGTAAATTATTTATACAGATACTCTTGTCTGGTTCTGTGTACAGTAAGCATGGAACACAACAATACCCCTAGCTATACTTCACACATAAAATAATGCCAGATCTCCAAAGTGGTAAATTTGTATAAAAAATTGAATTACCTTGCTTCAACCCTTTACTGTATTTGATGTTCATGTACAGTATGTTATGCTGTTTCATGGAGCAGTAAGACTTTTATAAACTTTAAAACTGTTGGGGTGTATGGAGACATAAGCATAAGAGTTTATTCTACACACCTACATTTTGTGGATGAGGCAGTGGAACCTACAGTTATAAACAACAGTTACAGTTGCAAGAAAAAGTATGTGAACCCCTTGGGATTACATGGAATTTTGCATGAATTGGGCATAAAATGTGCTCTGAACGTCATCTAAGTCACAACAAAAGAAGAACACAGTCTGCTGAACATAATACTACACAAACATTAGATGTTGCCATGGTTTAATTGCACATAACATGTAAACATTCACAGTGCAGGGAGGAAAACGTATGTGAGGCCCTAGCTTAATGACTTCTCCCAGAGCTAATTGGAGTCAGGAGTGAGCCAACCTTGACTCTAATCAGTGTGATGATATTGGATGTGTTGCTGACAGCTGTCCTGCCCTTAAAAAACACACACCTGTTTTGGGTTTACTGGTTTCAAGAAGCACTGTCTGATGTGAACCATGCCTCGCAGAAAAGAGCTCTCAGAAGTGTTGACTTGCATGAAGCTGGAAAGGGTTACAAAAGTTTCTCCAAAAGCCTTGATGTTCATGTGTCCATGGTAAGACACACTGTCTACAAATGGAGAAAGTTTAGCACTGTTGCTACTCTCCCTAGGCATGGCCGTCCTGTAAAAATGACTGCAAGAGCACAGCGCAGAATGCTGCATGAGGTAAAGAAGAATCCCAGAGTGTCAGCTAAAGACCTACAGAAATCTCTGGCACATGCTAACATTTTTGTTGACACATCTACAATAAGGAAAACATTAAACAAGAATGGAGTACATGGGAGGACACCACGGAGGAAGACATTGCTGTCCAAAAAGAATATTGCAGCACGTTTGAAGTTTGCAAAAGAGCACCTGGATATTCCACAGCACTACTGCAAAATATACTGTGGACAGATGAAACCAAGATTGAGTTGTTTGGGAAGAACACACAACACTATGTGTGGAGAAAAAAAGGCACAGCACACCAACATCAAAACCTCATCCCCACTGTAAAACATGGCGGAGGGAGCATCATGGTTTGGGGCTGCTTTGCTGCCTCAGGGCCTGGACGGATTGTTGTCATTGATGGGAAAATGAATTCCAGAGTTTATCAAGACATTTTGCAGGAAAACATATGACCATCTGTCCGCCAACTGAAGCTCCGCAGAGGATGGGTGATGCAACATGACAATGACCCAAAGCATACAAGTAATTCAACAAAACAATGGCTGCAACAGCACAGAATACGCCTTCTGGAGTGGCCCAGTCACAGTCCTGACCTCAACCCGATTGAAATGCTGTGGCATGACCTTAAGAGAGCGATTCACACCAGACATCCCAATAATATTGCTACACTGAAACAGTTTTGTGAAGAGGAGTGGTCCAAAATTACTCCAGATCGTTGTGCAGGTCTGATCTGCAACTACAGGAAACGTTTGGTTGAGGTTATTGCTGCCAAAGGAGGGTCAACCAGTTATTAAGTCCAAAGGTTCACATACTTTTTCCTCCCTGCACTGTGAATGTTTGCATGTTATGTGCAATTAAACCATGGCAACATCTAATGTTTGTGTAGTATTATGTTCAGCAGACTGTGTTCCTCTATTGTTTGACATAGATGACGTTCAAAGCACATTTTATGCCCAATTCATGCAAAACTCCACGTTAATCCCAAGGGGTACTGTCAGGGCTCCCAGGTATGACCAGAGGTGTGTGACTGAAGCAGGGAAACGCAGACTTCAGATTGTGCATGTAATTTATTAACACTTACAAACATAAACGCAGTGCAATACAGTGCAAACAAACCCAACCAACCACCCAAATAACATGGCAACATCTAATGTTTGTGTAGGTATCAGCAGGTATAGTTCAGCAGACTGTGTTCAGGAATTCGTAGTACAGAGGGTCAGGCAGAGGGATGGTCAGGGTCACAACATAGATGACGATTACAGGGCCCAGGACAAACACAACACCAAGCACAAGTCTTTTAAATGCCCAATTCATGCAAAACTCCACTGGTAATCCCAAAAGGGGTGAGTCCCACATGGCCACATTCCTGACAGGTACACATACTTTTTCTTGCAACTGTACTGATGATGAAGCAGTGGGGTTGATTTATTAAAGGAAAATAGACTGTTTACTTTGCAAGGGAAGTTGCACTTTGCAAGGGAACTCTCCCTAGAGCAATTTTTTCCTTGCTCGTGATTGGGTATTCTTTGCAGTGTGAAATTTCACCACATTCACTAAGCTCTGGGGAACATTTCCTTGAATTATGCAACTTCACTTGCAAAGTGCACAGCCTATTTGCCTTTAATGAATCAAACCTGCATGAATCTACTCTTCTCATTTTAAAATGAATACATGAATACATAGGTATACAACATTTCATTACATTTTGAAATGTATTATGTATTTAAAGGAGACATTTCATATTTTCAGTTTTTATTAAGGTAAGCATGGATAGGAGGAACATAACTTTCTCAATATGAATACTTATTTTTTTTTAGAACTTGGTTTAGTTTGTAATTTGTAATTTGATATGTACTATTCCCCTACTGCTCCTCTTCACTGTGCACATTGAACACACCACTTCTGTATCTTGATGTCTTATCTCAACAACTTATGAAGACACTCTGTCAACTTGTCCATTCAAGGAAAAGTAACAGAGTCTGTATAAAGCTCAACACCTGCTACTTTATATACACTGTATTGCCAAAGTATTGGGACGACTGACTTTTACACGCACATGAACTGTAATGGCATCCCAGTCTCAGTCCATAGGGTTCAATATTGAGTTGGTCCACCCTTGGCACCTATAACAGGTTTAACTCTTCTGGGAAAACTGTCCGCAAGGTTTAGGAGTGTGTCTATGGGAATGTTTGATCATTCTTCTAGAAGCACATTTGTGAGGTCAGGCACTAATGTCGGACGAGAAGCCCTGGCTCACAGTCTGCACTCTAATTCATCCCAAAGGTGTTCTATCGGGTTGAGGTCAGGACTGTGTGCAGGCCAGTCAAGTTCCCACCCCAAACTCGCTCATCCATGTCTTTATAGACCTTGCTTTGTGCACTGGTGCGCAGTCATGTTTGAACAGGAAGGGGTCATCCCCAAACTGTTCCCACAAAGTTGGGAGCATGAAATTGTCCAAAATGTCTTGGTATGCTGACGCTTTAAGAATTCCTTTCAATGGAACTAAGGAGCCAAACCCAACCCCTGAAAAAAAACCCCACACCATAATCCCCCCTCCACCAAGTTTTACACTTGGTACAATGCAGTCAGGCAAGTACTGTTTTCCTGGCAACCGCCAAACACAGACATGTCTATTGGATTGCCAGAGAATCGTGATTCGTCACTCCAGAGAACACGTCTCCATTTCTCTAGAGTCCAGCGGCTTTACACCACTGCATCTGACTCTTTGCGTTGCACTTGGTGATGTAAGGTATAGATACAGCTGTACAGCCATGAAACCCATTCCATGAAGCTCTCTATGCACTGTTGTGCTAATCTGAAGACCACACAAAGTTTGGAGGTCTTTAGCTATTGACTCTGCAGACAGTTGGTGACTTCTGCGTACTGTGCGCTTCAGCATGCGTTGACCCCGCTCTGTCATTTTACATGGCCTACCACTTTGTGGCTGAGTTGCTGTTGTTCCCAGTTGTTTCCACTTTTTTTAATACCACTAACAGTTGACCGTGGAATATTTAGTAGCAAGGAAATGTCATGGATGGACTTACTGCACAGGTGGCAACCTATCACGGTACCAGGCTTGAATTCACTGAGCTCCTGAGAGCGGCCCATTCTTTCACAAATGTTTGTAGAAGCAGTCTGTATGCCTAGGGGCTTGATTTTTTACACTTGTGGCCATGGAGGTTATTGGAACACCTGAATCCAATGATTTAGAGGGGTGTCCCAATACCTTTGGGAATATAGTGTATATTTAGGTCTTTGTCACTAATTTTTCTGTGTATGTCGCTGCACAATTCCTGGTGCTTTCAGGTTTAGGGGATGACTGGCACTGAGCATTACCATGTCTTGAAGGAGGGGTGTCACCACTCACCTATGAGATCCAACACCAGTAATTTTGGTGGCAGCTGCAACAGGGGAAGGAACAGTGCGAGAAAGCTGGAGAGGTACAAAGTTGTTGGGATGAGCGTTAAACAGACTTTGCCACTTTGCCCAGACTTTTCCCCACTAATGCCACTTAGCAGTGTTCATCAGTGCTGCCTTTCAGTGTAGCCTCATCAGTGCTTATCAGTTCAGCTTATCAATGCCCATCAGTGTCACCTCATCAGTGCACACCAGTGCAGCCTCATCACCGTACATCAGTGCAGCCTCATATTCGCACATCAGTGACAGAGAAAAATTACTTATTTACAAAATTTTATAACAGAAACTAAAAAAAAATGTGTTTTTCAAAACATTAATTTTTTTGTTTGCTTAGCAAAAAATAAAAAACCCAGTGGCGATTAAGTACCAACTAAAGAAAGCTCTACCTGTCTCAAAAAATTATAAAATAATTTAATTTGGGTACATTGTTACATGACTGCGCAATTATCATTCAAAGTGCAAGAGCACTGAAAGCTGAAAATTGGCCTGGACAGAAAGGGGGTGAAAGTGCCCAGTATTGATGTCAAATTTAGAGATTTAATAACTCCAGGTACACTGTTTCCGTTTCTATTAAATAAAGGATGTGTCAGTGAAGAGGTTAATTATAGTACTAGCACTGCTATAATCACTGAAACAGATCTGTCTGATATGCACATTGTGAATAATACCTGCTAATGCTGACTTAATGCTTTAGCAGAGGGTAATCTTTGTACAAATCCCCATTTTGGCAGCTGCTCAACTTTATTCACTAATGTAACTAATGTATAACTCAATTAGTGAAATCCTTCTTTGTGCATGATTAACTTCTATACAGGCTAAATTAGCTGTAAAGCAGCTGTTGTACATAGAAGTATTGCAGAACATCCACTGCACGCCATATTACTGCTGGGGAGAAGCATGGACACTCCTAGACATCTTTTCATCAAGTCTGTAAGAGTGCACAGAATATTGAATGTTAGGTTCCCTGCTAGCATTACAGTCCTAAATATTATTCATGCTTGATATTCATGCAATATTATTTTACACAATCGTTTGTAATATTGTTGTTGGCCATGATGGACTTGCCCTGAAAGGGGTTTTCAATAATTAATAACATTTGTACTGCTGATTTTTTATCTTCTTTAACAAGTTGATTCTCATTGCATGTTTCCCAATACACAAGTGGGAACTTTGTTTGGATAAAGCAAACAAAAAGCTCACTTGCTTAATTCCATTCTGGGTCCAAACACTGACACAAAGTCTGTATTTATGTCCACTTTACAAGATTAGCACATTCATCAACGTGACCAGTACTCCATACCCTCAGACCCCAAGAAAAGTGGGTTTTATTTGCTTCTTCTAAATTTTAATACGTACACCTCTCAGAGGAAGGACTTTTCACACTATGGCCATTGAGCTGTGCTTTTCTGCCACTACTGCACATGAATGGTATGAACAGGGCTAATAGAAAACCTTTGTTTTTTAAGTGCCCTGTTCACACCCTTTATATGGTGGGGTCTGCAGAAAAATGCAGCTTAAGGAACATTATGTGAAAAAGCCCTTACTTTTCTTAGTTTTTTTGAGTAAGACCAGTTAGTTGGCAATGCATAAACAGTGAGTTTAGTGTGCTTTTAAATGTAATGTGTAAATAAAGCACATTTTAAATTGGTCATAATATACATAAAGTGCATATCATTTCCGAGTCTGAGGGTGCTCCTAGTTAGGCTACAATGCCAGATTTTATCAACAGATGACATTGCAAAATTAAAAACAGGTAACGCAGTCCCTTATAAACAGGTGAAAAGAAGAATATATACATAAAGTGCATATCATTTCCGAGAAACTGGGACCTTTGTTTACCATTGCCCAGTGGACTGAAGTCTGAGGGTGCTCCTAGTTAGGCTACAATGCCAGATTTCATCAACAGATGACATTGCAAAATTAAAAACAGGTAACGCAGTCCCTAATAAACAGGTGAAAAGAGGAAGCTGCGATGCTTTTGTCTTAGAAAATGTTTTTTTTTTAGTATTGACCTGCTTTGCCCTTTTCTAGGTGTTTGCAGCAGAAGTGAAGCAGAACGAAAGCAAAGTTGAAGCATTAAAAGGCAAGCTGAAACGCTTCATAGAGAACAATGTGGATGCTCCAGAGATTCAGCAATGGGAGGACGTTTCAAATAAAATAGGTATACTTACCTTGATGAATCACTACTAGGCATGTAAAAAACCCTTCAGTTTAAGTATATTTTTATTACATGTTAAATGTATTTAGGGAAATACTCCTTGTATAAATACATGAAATATTTCTTTATATAATCTTTCCACAATAACCTGATTGAGTGGGAAGATATAAGAGTCAGTGAGAAGATATACACTGTGAACCAAGCAGGCGTTATTGCATTGTACAATAAGGGAAAACATAGCTTTGTGACGCAAGACTTTGTAAGTCAACACATTCTGCCACTAACTGCACCTATGTTGAAGAAAGATACAGTCAAACAGTTATGTCTGTCTATTCAAACTAATTCTTTTAATCCCTGTTACAAGAGTTATATTCATGAAAAATGCAAATGAAAACAGATCATTAATCTTTTGAAACAAACACTTCTTCAACAGAAGTGCTCAATATAACCATTGCTTGACATTGTATTGTTTTTATAACCCCAGCAAGACAGATAAGGGAGGGTATTGAGACTTGAGACTACAAAAATCTCTTCCCACTGACTAGCTAGGGCTATAATTAGAAGCTAAGGTAGGCTTTGCAGATTCTGTTTGTATCAAAAGCTTTCTCATTCTTCTTATTAGTATTTTTACTCTTCTCCCAAAGCTCAGGGAATGTTTTACCAGGCAATGTTAGAGAATATGGACATATGTAGATGTGTACTAATCACAGGTTCTTGTTAAAGTGACACTAAAGGTTCAAATGTCAAAAACATCTCCTCCCTTCTTCCCACCTGCTGTGTTCCACAAAAGCAAGCTACTTGCACTGGGGGCACTTGTGGGTACTCGCTCCTGGACCACCTCTGTGTGTCTGTTTGGGGGGCTGAGGGGAATGCATGAAGGTAAAAAACCTTCAGCCCTTAGAACCACTTTAAATAAGAGAGTTGCCACAGAATGTGTTTTAATAGGTTAAGTTGACCCAAAGGCTGCTACACGTGTTCGATGATCATTGCACACTTCCACAATGTTCAGAATGGGAAATAATGATATGTATGTGAGCACATTGAAACTTCTGCCACCTCTGATCTCACTCAGGTTAAAAAAAGAAAAATGATCTAATATAGACTGACTTATGTCACTGCTATTGTCTCACAGAAGTAAGACCAGTATTTGCACAATGCATAAACATGTTTGTTAGGTTATATGTTTGCTCATGCTTATGATCCCAACATTCTGTATATTGTTATTTGAACAGGCAAGCATTAGACCTTGTTTTAATTAGTGCCTTCAGGTAAACATGATAGACTTGAAAACATGACACATAAACCAGACATGGTCTATATATTTTCATGATCTAGATTAACAAAATGCAGTTTTGTAAATATAGAAAAGGTAAGTACACCCCTGCATTTACCACCATTTTACTTCCAGAGTGGGTGCCAGTGATTTTCCTTAGAGAGTATTCAGATGGAATATGGGAATATTTAATTCACAGGTATCTAGGATCTGCCATTCCCTTTGCTATTCGCATGTGTGTTGCCATCATGCCAAAAGTAAAAGTATTCTCTAAAGCCCTCAGAAAGAAAGTTATATATGCCTATAAGTCAGGCAAGGGGTTTATAAAGATTGCCCAATGATTTGAAAACCATCATTCCACTGTAAGGTGGCATAGATTTCAAACAACTGCTAACTTGCCCAGGACTGGCCAGCCACACATATTCAAACAGAACTGACCGTTTGATGCTACAAATCTCCAGAATCACAAGATTTTATTGGGGGTGTTTAAGTAACTCTTGCAACAGCTGGTGCCAAAGTGTATGCATCTGCAATCATGAGGAGATTGCACCAATTCAACCTGCATGGGAGGTGTGCTAGAAAAAATCCTTTACTGTTGGGAAAAAAAGAACATTTGAGCAATATTTCAGTTTGCCACTGAACAAATAGCAAAAACCAAGCATTTTGGAGCAATACTGGTTATTGAGCCCTAAGTTAAAACTAGCTATAGAATCCCAGACCAGAAGGAGCAGTTCAGTAGCAAGGCCCGAAAGCATGGTCACGATGTGGCATTTGTCTTGGTGGCGGAGACCCGAAGACAAGATCTACGGTGAGTAGAAGACCCTTCAGCTCTTGCCCAACCAGCCTGGAATACACCTTTTCACCTGGCAAGAACTGTGGTGTGGCACTGGAACTCATAGTCAGCCTATCTACTCTAAAAGGACAAGGTTACCTAAAATAACATGAGCTGCATATAATGTTTATTGCAATAAATAGGTTCACCTACTAGCATACAGTAAGGTGACCACTACATTTATACTGTACCACAGACCTAACTATCTGGCACTGTGCATGTGAGACAATAACAAAATTTGTCACAAGGATTTAAATACACATTCAAGAAGCTATGGGCAGCTGCAGTTAAACTATTAGTACACAGGAATAATTGCATAGCAATCTTTGCTTGTTGTGCTAATACATATTTATAAATAACACTGTGATATTACCAGCTAACAGTAGAGGGCAGTAGATCCCTACATACAATTAATCCACCAAGGAAGAAAAGAAGAAATAGAGGGTTATGGGCTGCTGTCAAAGCCTTAATTTGATTCCCATTCAAATTTTGTAGGTGGGGTTAGAAATGAGCAGTTTATGCAAAAGAACTATATTCTGCACATATTTTGCAACTGTAGGAATTTTGCATGGAGAAGTGATCAAAGATGTCACTCCGTCAATGTCAGAGACTAGGTATCATTCTGTCTCCTGATATTTGTTAAATAAATCATTTTTTTCTGTGCTCTCAATGACCACCATGGTGTTTTATTATTAGTCTTTTTCTGTCAACTGCGTGTGGGCAGGAGTATTGATAGCAAAGATCTATCTATAATCGGTATGTGGTTCTCCTTATACATTATGGCCCAGATAAGTTCAAAAGCATCCTTGTCAGTTGATTTATCATTAATTGTTGGAAAACACATGATGTAGAGTTGTTGCTTGACATGACACCTTTCTTTTTACAAATAGAAAGCTGTGGAATTTGTGGAGCTCCAGAATGAGACATACAATCACAGTCATTTGTAATAAGGGATTTATATAGAATTCATGTCTAATAGAGTATGCGAAAAGAATAATCCTAAAAAGACAGATATGTATAAATTGTCAAGCCAAATTCCATTTATTTACACTATGATGTATTAGTTTGGCCCACAGATTAGTAGTGGTAGTGAAGGTGGTATGCTGCACAAGGAATTGCTTATATACTGTGGATAAATGAACTGACAAAGACGAATGAACTTACCAAATCCAAACTGTGATCATAAAACATGGTTATGGAAGTTATTGGTATAGACATCCACTGTCTATAATTTGCTGTGCTAAATGCCAGTGCACAGAAGTCTCCCATGTTGTGTCCCACATCTTATGGCCGGAGGAAATGTAATGTGCACATTCAGCCCTTTACATTTTAAACTAATTTTGGGTATGGACTTTGATATGCATTGATGAGTAATTACATAATTTTAGGTTAAACATTTTTTTCTGCTTGTGGCCACCATGTCTGCATCTAGGATAATGTTTTCTGCCTTGAAAAATAGAAATTAGGTCTGGATATCTAAATATGAGAATGCATAAAATATAGATTAAATATATAGATAATTTTAAGACCTGGTTGCCAAACAGTATAAGCTACATTTATATGGATTATAACCCTCCTTTAATAATGTTTCATACCTGTTGCAGTGTTCAAAATCAAACTGTGATGTTATCTTTTTTGGGGGGTTAGTTAGGCTGATTTTCTAAAAGATTTTAGAATCTTTACTCACAAATTGTGAGAATATTTGCTCCACTACATACAGTCATTTGAAAAAGCATCTGTAAATAACTGGGTATTCAAAGTGAACAGAAATTTGCTTTTCATATGACTGAATAGTTTAAGTGAACATTCACAATGTTTGAGTGTTTGCAACTCCCTGTTAGTAAATCAGCCTATTTGTTTAATGGCTGTGTGCAGTAAGAGAAGCCTTACATGACTGATGCCAGCCCAATCTGAGCATTATTTTACCAGATAAGGCATGGTTGAGACCATGTTGACCTTCCCTACAGGCAATGATGAACGATTCTAACTGTCAGGAGCATTCATTAATGTAAATTGAATGTTTTCAGCTTTTTGCAAAACCTTAGAACCTCCTGGCTCCAGTAATTCATCATTTTGAGAAGAGCTTATTTTCACTTTAGAACAAAAAGGTTCCCAAATAGACATATAACATATATACATGGGTATGAAATTATATTTAAACCAAATAACTCAATTTGAAACATCACTTACAAATTTTTTAATTTTTAGCTTTACACTAATACTGGGTGATTCTGTCATTAATATCCTTGCTCGGGCACTTCCTGTTATAGGGTGGCAATGCTCTGTTGTTGTCTCCCAGTAGTCCTGCACTGTAACCCTGTGACATGGCTTTCTAATGGAGACAACAAGTGGCCACAAGCATGATCTACTGTTGTCACCATCAGAAAACCTGCCCCGAGAAACATCAGGCAGCCATTGCTGCCTGATGTAGCAATGGCTGCATGTAGTGTGTGCATGTAGAAAGGAAGTAACCACAAAGAGGCTGCTGGGAATCAGCAGCCACGAGACGCAACAAAGGATGAATACAAGGTGCAAACAACAAATTTATTAAAATAGGGCAGTTTGTGTTAAGGTGCTTTAACCAACTAAAGTTTATCATTTCCTTTATGTCCATATAGGGTTTAGACATAATATTTAATAGATGTGTCTACAGGCATGTTTTCTGTGATTGCTATCATAGAGACACTTTAAGTGTAATTCTCTTATCACAGATCGTTTTTTACAAAGACATTTGAACATAGGTCATTTTGTCAGCGCTAACATAAAAAAGGAGCAGATCCGTTGTAATAGAGAGTGTTTACCATCAAGATATGGACACAAACCAACACCTATGTAGCATAGATTCAGCTGCTTTCTGTTTGGTAAAGCATTTGCTGTGGATTGTACTTCTAAGAAATGGTCACAGTCATGTTTTATATTGGCATGGTGCTGCTTTTTAATGGGGGCAGGGGGGTAAGGATTTTTGAAATAACCTGTCAACTTAAAGAAACTGTGTCTCATTAAATGTATCACTGTTTATGTTTTATTTCTACCTTGCATACATAATCTCCCCGAAGACAGACAGTATAACATGGTGAAAGCATCCATAATTGTTTTGCGGAATATTTAACTAAACTTCCTATTGTTATAGGTCCACAAAATATTTACTTTTCTTTTTATGGCAGTAAACCCTGTAGTGCTCCTGAATGTCTCTAGTTTTTTCTCAGATAGAGATTGGCAAAAAGTAGGCAATAAAAAGCCCACTTTTAGTGTTCATTTGCCCTAATTTATCCCTGTTTTCATTTAAGCTGTGGTCATCCAGTGCCATGTTCTTCTCCTCTCTGTTTACATCCTGGAATAGTCCTTATTTGGATGTTAATGTCACTGTCTGTGTGACATGGGAAATTCCCGCTGTCTGACCAGCAGAGTGGTCCTCTTAGGATCCAGAAGAAGACGTCAGACCAAGTGCAGAGAAGGGGGCCAGCTGACAAGGGTTAATGTGTGAAGCTGAAATAGTGGTCCTGTCAAGCAGAAATTTTATCAATGAGGGACCTGAATGTGGGAACTCAGGTGAGTATACTTGGCGTCACTAGGCAGGCACAGCATACAACCTGGTAGGATGGCTCCAGCACCCCATACTTTCTCCCCCATTCCCTCTAACCAAATGCTAGCATTGAAAAAAAGCAATCTATGCCCTTTTTACTTCCCAAAATCTGTGGTCACATGATGCACCAGTTCGAGTCTTCTCTCTTCTTCATACTGGAGGCGGCATCTTTGTGGGTGTTGTCTAGAGATGGATTTAACATTTGAATACTTGTCAGGATCTTTTGTCACTGTGTGTAAAAGTTTTCAATTTGTTTGGTGCTGCAGAATCATCCTGGACAGAGATCACCCAGATGACAGCTGAGAGGCAGCAAACCTTGGAAGAATCATCAAATGACCTGGCCTTGTTCCAGACAGCTGAAGCCCAGTTAAAGCAATGGCTTGTAGAGAAAGAACTCATGGCAAGTGTTCTTGGACCCCTTTCAATAGACCCGAATATGCTGAAAACTCAGAAACAGCAAGTTCAGGTAAGCTATGCATTTGCACCACACATCTGATCATTCCCTTTACAGATTTATCAAGCTATTGCTTTCATTCTCTGCCAAGAACATTTCACATGTGTTTTTTTCTCTTTATTTGGTGTAGGAAGATGTAAAGCTTCCTTTAACCATCGGTGTATTAAAAACAGGCACATCTTTGATGACAAGGGAGTCCTGGACTTTGTGTGCTTTCTGTTTGTACTGAACAAATTTCTATTACTGTTGAGAGAAGCAGAGAAATAAAATATATGTGTCAACCAGGGGCGGACTGACAACTCATGGGGCCCCCAGGCAATAGGGGATCATGGGGCCCCTGTGTCCTTGCCCACACTCCAAAAAGCCTATAAAAAAGATACCGGGGCATTTCATGGGGCCCCCTACTGACCCTGTGTGCAGTGCCCGAGTGCTCGAATGGTCAGTCCGCCCCTAGTGTCAACATGCAAAACTTGGCAAGTGCACATTTTCTAGGCACTTGAAATGTAAAGTTGAAGACATAGGCTTGTAATGTGGCCATGAGAATTAACATGTACAATTGTAAAACAAATGGAATAAAAAAATCCCTGATGTTAGGCATGTACAGGGCTTTTTTCTCAGTGAATAGGTGTAGGAACTCTCCCTCCCCGGCCAACTCCCCATCTGTAACCACGCCCTAACTCAGCCCCTAGCCACACTTTTCTTAGAGGGGAGTAGTACAGTGATTCCAAATAATGGTAATAAGTTAAAGCTCAGAAATGGGTATCGCACAAGGAGCATGGTTCAGGAATGTGTAACACACAAAGTACAGAATCACACAGGGTGCAGAGAAAAAATCAGGGACAATACTTGCATTCAATGTAAAGCATCCCTTGTGCTCAGGAATATCCATCATATAGCCCTGTGTACAGAGTGCAGGGGTCAGGAATAACAGAGCCCAGCACACAGAGTGTGGTAGTAAAGTGTATGTAATATGAAGTACAGCATACAGAATGCAGGGCTCAGGAGTATGTAACGCAAAACCAAATGTAAAGAGTACAGAATTCAGGAGTACCATCCAGAGGCCTTGTAACATACATCACAGCATACAGAGTTAAGCTGTTCTAAGTATGTAATGTACAAAGCATGTTACATAAATCTCACCACTGCACCCTGCATGCTGTGCCATACATAACATACTCTTGGTTACTGAACTCTGTATGCTTTCCTGTCCCCCAGCAAATTTCCCTGGTCTTTCCCAATAAAGTATCCCCCCATTTTAAAGTAACCATCAAATGCTTACCTCTGCACATCTTTTTGCTTACCTCTGTATCACCCATTCACAACTCATCTCTGCAACCCTCATCTACAACTCACCTCTTCTCCTGCCCACAGCTCACCTTAGCACCCCCCCCCCCTTCCCCATCCACAACTCACCTTTGCCCCCCTATCAACATCTCACCTCTAAACCCCTCCAACCACAGCTTACACCGCCATTCCACAACTCCCCTCTGCACCCCCATCTATATTATCTCTGCGCCCTGCCATATTTCGCTTCTGCATAACCATCTAAAACTCACCTCAATCCACAGTTCTTACCTCTGCCCCCGCCTTCGTATTTCACCCCCCCCCCCCTTACTTCCCCCACAGCTCTCACTTATGCACAACCTGTTCCCCTCCACAGATCTCATTTTGCATGACTTGGCATTCACACCCTGCCCCAACAGCTCTCACCTGTGCATAACCTGTTCCCCCTCCACAGCTCTCAATTTGTACAACCTGGCATCCCCACCTGTCCCCAGAGCTCTCACCTGTGTGCAACCTGCTCCCCCTCCACAGCTCTCATTTTACACAACCTGCCTTCAGCAGCTCTCACCTCTGCACAAATCTCTCCCCTTTCCCAGTTAATCTCTCTGCACAACTTAAACCCCCCCCCCCCCCCCCAGCTCTCTCCTCTGCTAAAATCCCCCCCCCCCCCTTCTGCTCTTCTCTCTACTAAAATTCCCCCCCTTCCCGGTCCTTATTCTCTGTGCACAAATTCACTGTAGCACAGAGCCGAAGATGTGTAGACTTTACTCAGCTCCGTGCTAGAATGTCTACAATCAGTAGTGTAGGCAAGTGGGGACAGAAGCTGCCTCCCAAATTAACACAGGCAGCTGCAGTTGCGCTGCCAGGACCTGAGGCACTGACCAGGGCTTGAGGGCAGAAGCACTGGGTGCCCATGACTAGTACAGAGAAGCTGGTAGAGGAAGAGAGCTGTGTTGAAAATTTCCTCTACTGGCTTCTGTGTTAAATGACAAGTTTGAGAGGAGAGGGCTGCCGGAGGGGCCGGAATGGTGTTCTAGCATGTTCCAGCTGAAAAAAAGGCCAGGGCATGTATGACTACTTTACTATAAGGTTCCTGAAGAGGACACACTGGCATGATTTGAGGTTAGAAGAAAGGAAGTTTAACCTTCTATTGAGGAAAGGGTTCTTTACTGTTACTGTTGGAAGTCCTTCCCCCAAGAAGTGGTACTAGTTGAGAGTGTCAACAACTTTATAAAACATTTGAATTTCTTCCTCAGAAACAGAATATACACAACTATGGGAGTTGTTAAAAGGATAAAACACATACACACACATAAATTGAACTGGCTGACCCTTTTTTAAACTTTGCAGACTATGTAACCATGTAACTATATTCACAAGTTAAGCACATGAGCATACTGTATGATGTAAAGATCCTGTCTAAGTATATTGCCAAATTAGCATCACACAGACTTCAAACTGAGAATTTTTCCCCATAAAAGCATCTTTTACGTGGCCCAGAAGAGGAATTTAATTTATGATTAAGCTACAAATGGGACACAAACTCATTTCGGTGAAGACGTATGTGTGTAATAACACTTTACTTTCAATCTGTTCTTGTGATATTGCCTAAAGTGGTTGTAAAGGCAGAAGGGCACAAGTACGCACAACAGCTTTTTTAATTCAACATATGATAATAGTCAGATGACAGAAAGTGTATCTTCTGGTCATGTGATCACAGTGTAAACAGTTTTTGTATACTAGACATATTGTATATCCATGCTTAGTCATCTCTCTGTTACGTTAAATCAGTTTTATCTGTTAGGAAAAAACATTTGCTTTTTTTAGCTGCCAGAAAGCAAAATAGGCTATGGTACCTTTTATGTTTCAGTAGATTTTGACTGAGGCTGTGGTGGCTTTTAATGCATAAATTAGACATTTATTAGAGGCTAAAAAAAAAAAAGTCTTATTTTTCGTATTTATTTCTTATTTAAAAGGAACCTATACATATATGAGCTGGAATTGTACACTTAAATTTGAAGTTATATACATACTACTTGATTAAGGTGGAGTTCCACCCAAAAGTGGCTCCTCCCCCCCTCCGCTGCCACATTTGGCACCTTTTGGGGGGGGAGGTAGGAGCGGGTACCTGGTTTTGACAGGTACCCGCTCCCACTTCCGGCTCAGTGCACCAAGGTGCACTGAGCCGGATGTTCGGCACTCCCCTCAGCCCTCTGGGACACTTCCAAGGTCCCAGTGGACTGCAGCCTGTACACAAAGCGCTGCACGCTGGCGCATGTGCAGTAGCTGCCGGTATCCCTTAGTCAAGATGGCGGCGCCAGCACCTGACAGCCGATTGAAGAATTGGGGTGAGGACACCACTGGATGCATGGACAGGTAAGTGCCCTACTATTAAAGGTCAGCAGCTACAGTATTTGTAGCTGCTGACCTTTTATTTTTTTTTGGGAGGTGGTGGGGGCCTGAACGCCACTTTAATCACTGACCTGCAACAAGCAGTTACAAAACGGGTAATCCAGATCAGTGACTCACTAAGCAGTGAAGGATGTATAAGGATGATAGACTGGGAGGCTACACAACTCCGCAATGACAATTGCTATACTTTTTTCCTGAGAAGTTCCCTTTAAATGAAAACTGTAATGAGAGAAATGGGGCTGCCATTATGACCTCCTTCTAAAAATGCCACTTGCCTGGCTGCCTCTGACATCATTACTTCCTGAATCACTGTCCTGGAGAAAACATGTAGAATGTGAAGTCCAAGTAAAGTCAATACTCCTGATCTGCAATTTTCTGGCCAGTGACTCATAAAGTATTACTCATAAAGTATTAACGCCACATCAAATGACAGCCAGTCAACTAGCATTTTAAAAATAAGAAGTCAGAAATAGTAGTTGTATTTATTTTCTCCATACCACGTCTGAGAAGAAATTTATTTATTTATTTCAGGGGAATTATATAGCACCGTCAATTTACGCAGCGCTTTATATACATTTTATACATTCACATCAGTCCCTAACCCTCAAGGGGTGTACAATCTAAGGTCCCTAGCTTACATTCATACATACACATACTAGGGACAATTTGGACAGGATCCAATTCACCTACCAGCATGTCTTTGGAGTGTGGGAGGAAACTGGAGTACACGGAGGAAACCCACGAAGGCACACTGCCACTCCAGGCAGGAGGTGAGGTGGCTGGGATTACGAACCAACGACCCTAGTACTGCTAGGTGGAAGTGCTAACCATTTAGCCACTGTGATTCCATTCATAGTTAGTTGGAATAAAACAGTACATAGTTCAAGGAAAATTAAATGAAAGGTCACAGATCCTAAAAACAGAGTCTGATTTGGTTCTAAAGATAAATGCATCGATAAGTTTGGAAAGCATATTGTAAAACACCGAACCTTAGCATGTTTTGTATGGGGAGGAAACTTACACTGGAAAAATGCAGAATCACGTTCAAGACCCTAGCACTGAAAGACAAAAAAACTAACCACTCTGCTGTCCTGCACTAAACTAGGCTAACAGATTGTGCACATCTGTGGGTGTATGGGAAGATCACAATTTTTTGTGCCCAGTGCTATGTGTACTTTGTATAATTGGATTTCTCACTATTACCTTTTATTGGCAGACCATAAAATTGGTATTACTATATTAAAGAAATAATTTCCAATGTGCATGACAACATTGAACAACTCTATGTGGTGCTACATTACATGTAAATGTAAAACGAATGAGCAAAGCGTTGGTCTGTTGCTTGACACTTTGGCCATAATCACATTATTCCATTAAGCTAAATACCCTTATGTATTTCCTGTGGCATGACTCAGTAGTGAATCATGTCCCCATAACAGCTTTCAGATGATTTTGCTACACATAGCCTATACTGTTCTGTGACTCTCGGTCAGTCCTGTGATCACACCATTTTTTAATTTAGCTTTGTCTTTGGTTGTCATGCCTTAGATATGTGTTTCATCTGCAGCATGACAATGTTCTCTGCATTCATATACCCCCCAGATGTAAGTCTATAAGTTAGTAAATGTGTTTCACATGAGCTCATCCTCTGTAATTGCATGCTACTTGTGATTTAATACAAACACTAGACATACAACAAGTATTCCTTTCACTAGTTCATCCATGCTGACCACAACAAGTACAGTGACTCAATAGACGTCTTTCAATGGCTAGCAATGGATTTATATTGCAGAAATGGATGTAAAAATGCATCTGGGATTATTTATCAGTGTGCCTAAGAGTAAACTTTTTGAGATTAAGTTACCAAAGGAATATTCAAATAGCTCAGCGAATCTGTGTTGTTCTTGTTCAACCATATGGAATAATGCCTTTTAAAAAGAGAAGTGTAGAATTTCAAAATAATAAACTTTCATACGCACCAAGGTAGATGCAGCATCGGTCCAATGCTTCTTCTGTCCCCCAGCACCTCTAAACCCGAGAACTGAGCAATCAAAGATCACTGATCTCTCAGTTCTCAAGTCTGCTTTAGCACAGAGCAGTAACTGTTAGTCACTGCTCTGCCTCTCCAGTGCTTACTGGAAATCCGGGCCGTGGAAAGGACAGGATTGGCTGGCTTAGTATCTCAGCAGTGCACTGGAAGGCTGAGCCCAAACATTACAATTAGAATTACTGCAGAGTCTGGACCGGCTGAGCGATGTCAGCTGATAATCTACTTCTGCCCACTGTCAGATGAATCTGAGACACAGGAGGGCAACTAAGTTCACTCCTGTGACCCACAAGAAAAGTAGGGACAAAAGATGTTGTTTACAGAATATGTAAACCCTCACAACAACCCATTCAGTTTAAAATAGATATGAAAGGCAAAACAATTCTGTATAGATATAAAAAAAATATAAATACCCTTTTCCCCCTTTTTTTATAAGTGATCACATAATCACTGTTCTCAGCTGCATAAGCAGCTGGGGGAGGGGAAACAGCATCACACGGACTTTCCCAGCGAATGGATGTGTGGAGGGGGGCTGATTATTGGAGGAGAGAACACCGAGCTCCCAGCACAGCTAGAAAACTGACCATGCTGTGCTCTCTTGCTTAGTGTGGTCAGTTTTTAATAGCAACGCAGAGGGAGGCAAGAGCACCAGGGATTTCACACAAAGGAAGCAATACAAAGAGAACAGGATACTTTTTCCTACAAATACATGGTACAGCAGGTACATGTCAGGAATATGAAAGGTTGCGTTACATACTCTTCAAGCTTACTTTATCCTTGATTAGATTTTCAGAGTTAGCATAGCTTCACCTTATTTACATTCACTTTGCAAAACCAACATTCGCACTCCTTCAGTAATTCAAGCCAAATAGTTTATAGCAGGCAACCAGTAAAGATATCAGAAAAGAACTTTACAGCTTCTATGTGCCAGTTGTCTAAACATGTGTAGCACAACCTTCTTGATGGCTGCTGAGTTTTTGCGTCCCCCTAAGTTCTGCACAACCAATCAACGTGCATTTTCCTGCACTCTCATCCAAAGTCAGTAAAACAGTCCTTGAGCTTGGTTTTGTTGTTTTTTATTAGGGCTTAACAACTTGGATGGAGTCTAGGGTTATATGGGATGCCCAAAGGAACTGTACAACTTCAGAGGACAACTTTTTAGCAAAAACAAACAAAAAAATCAGCAACAGTCTTAGTAAGGAGCACGGAGTCCCCTTTGGTGAACCTCCTCAGATCACAGATGAAACTTTTCTCATCCACCTGGCCATCTTAATGGTTTCCCTGAGCACGGGATTCCCAAATCTACAGTGAATTAGTCCCAGTGAGAACTAGTTGAGTATTGCACCTGACTGCCCTCTCCTTTCTGTGGCCCAGGGGGTGTAGAAGTACTCACACTGTCCTTTTTCCTGTAGCTTAATAGGTTGCAGCTGATTTCAGGCCTTACGGTGGGCTGGCTCCTTCCCTGCTGAAAGGCTGTCCTTCCTAATAGACTGTAGGGCAGTGGAGATCCTTCTGTCCAGCTTTAGCTTGTAGTTAGCCCCCCTGGGGCCCTCTCCCAGGCTGCATACACCAGCACCTTCCTTCACTCCATCTTCCACCTAACTTCAGCTTCTAACTTGCTGATCAGGCTATCCCATATTTAAAGGTTGTCCTAGCCACCATGCCAGGCCTCCTGCCTGGGGATTGGCCAAGTTCCCTCAAACATGCAAATCCAGGCCTTCTCCTCTCCTTCGCTCCCTCTTATAGAGAGTGTTGGAACTTTCTGAAGGGTAGGAGGGCCCCAGAAGCCCAGACCTGTTGAGCCTCCCAGCCTGAATTGAGGTAACCTCTCTTCTTTACTCCCAGGCTATCTCATCCCAGGCTTCTAGCAAGCCTTTGACTCACAGGCAAAAATCCTACCTAAAATAGACGGTGCTACACATGGATTCACACATATAATACTGTGAACCCACATGTATTTGTGAATCCTAAATAAATAATCCCATTGGGGTTAATGCATTAATTTAATATTAAATTTAATAAATGGAGAGTGGCTGCCTCCCATTGGGGTTCAGTGCTTTTATCAAACTTTCTGTTGGTTTTGAATAAAGCTTGTTCTCGCAGCATTCATATTCTTGGTTGTACAGTGTATGTTTTTTTAGGATGTAAGAACAGTAAACCTGACGAATTAGATGTAATGATGTAGATTGCTGATTTTTGCTTTGCATGCTACCCTGTTAAAAATGTGTTTCATTTGAGATATTTTGTGTTTCTTTAGGCTGACCTGCTCCACCTGTGAATTTCATTATAAAATGTTTTTTTTGTTTGTTGTAATAGATTCTTCTAAAAGAGTTTGATGCTCGAAAACAGCAGTATGAACAACTTAACAGCACAGGGCAAAGAATCCTAAGCCGACCAGGAGATCTTCCTCCTTGTGATGAGGCTGTAAAGGAGCAGTTGGCAGCTGTGGCATGTAAATGGGAGAGCCTGAGTGGACAATTGAATGACAGATGTGACAGAATTGACCAAGCTATTGTGAAGAGCACTGATTACCAAAGCCTTCTGAATGGCCTTTCTGAGAAACTAAGTGCCTTGAATAACAAACTGAGTAGCAATATGACAGTAAGCTCTCACCCTGATGCTGTAAAACAGAAGATAGACAATGCAAAGCAGGTACAGGAAGAAATAAACATAGAGATGGGTAACATTGACATTGCCAAAGCCCTTTGTGAAGACCTATCACATCTGGTGGCAGAAGAGTACTTGAAGGCAGAACTGAAAAGGCAAATGGACACGATTGTTAAGCCGTTCATGGACTTAAAAGAAAAAGCAGGTTGGTGTCAGGCCAAAAAATAATCTTTACACAGATTTTTTTAAATGCCAAAATGCTGAAGTGCCTTCAGTGATTAAAATAGTCTCTATAAGTAATGCCTGAAATACTAACACAAACAGTGCTGATGAGTCAACAGAGTGAACACATTCCATTAGTTTGGAAGAAAAGATTACTTTTCAGGTCCCTGTTGTAAGGTCATTTTTAAAAACATCAGAAATAGTTTCCAAAAAACACATACAATCACTAAAGTATCTTGGTTCATAATAAAACATTCCATAGCTTAATTGCCGTGAACAAAAGAGTCTGATAAAATCAGGAGCAAGCTCATATTTCAGATATCACCACTCACAGCTAGATTAATGCATGCAAGTATTACACGGTGCATGATTTAGGAATATAGTTAGAATATCACACTCCCTTAGGTACCCTGCTGTTATTCAACCCCCTACTGTTATGGTGCAGCCATACTAGTTCTAAAGAACTAGTAGTAGTACTCAGGTGTACCTCAGTTTACAAACACCTCAGTTAACGTAATTTTCAATTTAAGAATGAAAATCCATTGAAAATAATGCCTCGGTTTACAAATTTTTTTAAAACTTTTTTCGCAATATGAAGTGTATGTCGGTGCCCATTTTTAAAGGAAATTGCCAGATTTTTTTTCTTCACTATAGCTTACAGAATTAGCTGTCACTTTCCCCGGAGTTAAAGGAAGCTTTGTTTCTTTTAAGAAACTAAAAGGAAACATTTGCATTTAACTTGGGGAAATAAACTAAAAGGAAACTTTCTTTTTTTTAGCTGGGGGGAAAGTGACAGATGAATCTCTGAGCTATAGTGAAGAAAAAAAAAGCGGTAAATACATTTAAAAACCAGCACCATAATAAATAAAAAAATGGCGCGGGGTCCCCCCCCAAAATCCATACCAGACCCTTATCCGAGCATGCAGCCTGGCAGGTCAGGAAAGGGGGGGGGCAAGCGAGCGCCCCCACCCCTCTCCTCCTGAACCATACCAGACCACATGCCCTAAACATGGGGGGGTGCTTTGGGGCAGGGGGGCTCCCTGCCCCAAAGCACCTTGTCCCCATGTTGATGGGGACAAGGGCCTCTTCCCCAAAACTCTGGCCGGTGGTTGTGGGGGTCTGCTGGCAGGGGGCCTATCGGAATCTGGAAGCCCCCTTTAATAAGGGGGCCCCCAGATCCCAGCCCCCCTATGTGAATGAGTATGGGGTACATGGTCCCAATACTCATTCACAAAAAACAAAATGCAGTGTGAAAAAAGACAGGACACGGTCTTTGACAAGTCCTTTATTAAAAGAAAAAACTAAAAGAATGACCGCAGTAGATCCAACGTCAATCACGATGCCCGCCTCCACCACTGACCCAAAAAAGAATAAAGAAAAAAGGCTCCGCTCCCATCGATGGCTCCCGCTGTCTGCCTGCTCCGTTGGTTTGACAGTTCTTAAATAGGTAAGGGGTGGGGCAACCCGGGGACATTACACATGTGACCCCACCCCATGTGAATCAACGTTGAATCCATGATCAATGAATCAATGAATAATCAATGAATGATCAATGATGAATTAAAGTATGGGACAGCCTCTGTCATTGTGTATGTTATGCATACTGTATATTGGTATGCTCATTTCCATTGCTTTTTCCCTACATAACATTTAACTTTATGGTTCAATCAATAAAAAGTATCCATAGATATTTATTGACAGTATTGTACTTAGAATTGATATTGTTCAATTAATTTTCACGTGGGCTCTCCAAATAAGTAACAGGGCAAGCAACAATACCATACACCTGCACATAGCACACCTTTCTTTGTTAATTGTAATGCATAAAAAAACACTAAATTTATAATATACGCAGAGTGTAACATACTGTCTTGCATATAGTGTATGTGTAATTATTTGTACTTTTGTCTCCATTAACTGCATGCTTTAAACCCTTAGGTTTTCAACTTGAGCAGCTACAATCTGCATTTGCTAGCTCTCAAAAATTCCAACAGATGTCTGAAGATTTCCAGGTTTGGATGGAGAGTAAGAAAAAAATGCAAAATGAGGCAGCACCCATCTCTGCCAAGCTTGAGGTCTTGGAGTCATTAATCACAGAGACAAAACAAGCACTGAGTACATTGAATGCCCAACATGGTGCCTATGAAAAGATTATAACAGAGGGTGAGAACCTTTTACAAAAAACAGAAGGGGGAGAGAAGGCAAAACTTCAGTCTCAGCTGTCTATGTTTAAATCTAGCTGGGAAGACATTAATAAGAAAGTATCAGAACGTGAAAACAATTTGATAGATTGCCAACAAAAAGCCATGAAATACAAAGATATGGTAGAAAACATAAAGCCTTGGATCGAGGAGTATCAAAATAAAGTATTTTCAGTTAAACTTTCTACAGACCCAGCAGTGGTAGAAAATTCAATTGGAATAGTAAAAGCTCTACAAAAGAGTGTTGACAAGCAACGTGGAATGGTGGAGATGCTAAACAGTGCAGCAGATAGTTTATTAAACTCCTGTGAATCAGATAAAGACATAATTACAGAAGAGAGTGCCATGTTGAATGACAAGGTGGAATCACTTATTGATAGTTTACATAATAAAAGAGACTCACTTGAGAACATGGCACTGCGTCTCAAAGACTTCCAAGAATCTGTTAAAGATGCTGAAAAGCAACTGGCTGTGGCACAGGAGCATATAGAAGTACAAGAATCTCTTGGGACCCAAGCATGTAGTAACAAGCATCTAACAATAATGCAAACACAACAAAAAGCCCTTCAAAGTCTGCAGCCACAAATACAGTGCTCTGTAAAATTGGCCCAAGAGATTGTAGTAGATGCATCAGATGCAGAAGGCGTGTCTGATCTTCTCCTTCAAGCTGAATCCCTTCAACAAAAACACAAAAATATCAGCCAGCAAATTGAAGAAAAATGTACCTTCTTAGAAACCAAGTTACAAGGAATTGGACATTTCCAAAATAGTATTCGAGAGATGTTTTCTCAGTTTGCTGAGTTGGATGATGAGCTTGATAGTATGTCACCAGTTGCAAGGGATATGAATACACTACAGGCTCAGAAAAAGGACATTAGCAGATTCATGGAGAAGTTAGGAGATCTTATAACAACTAATGACAATGCTAACAAGACCTGCAAGATGATGATGACCTCTGAAACATCTCCAGATCTTGTTGGTATTAAAAGGGATCTAGAAGCCTTGAGAAAACAATGCAGCAAATTACAGGATCGAGCAAAATTCAGAGAAGAAAACATTGATGGAACTGTTACCAGAATGAAAGACTTTTACAATACGTTAAAAGAATTTGTTGATGAGTTTGGGAAAGCAGAAGAGCATGAAGAATCGCAAGGTCCTGTTGGAATGGAAACTGATGTCATCAATCAACAGCTATCCATTTTTACGGTAAGGCAGTGAAAGCTGGCTATACATGATATCAGATATGTGTCATATGATACTCATAGTAAACTACAAGATTTTGTGGCATAACAGAATAGGATCAAACAATCATTAATCTTAATTCGGCTGTGCTTCAGGCAAGTATCTTTGAGAAATAAAAAGACTGAAATTAAGATTTTATCATTTATAGTGTGCGCCATTTGGTACTGAATGAACAGGCAATCTGTGTTTTTGCCTTTGACAGCAAAATATTGACTTTCAAAAATGTAAACGATATACTTTTTATATGAATTATACCTTTTGATGTGCTACGTGTGTTCTAAACTTAAAGTGTATAGCTAAATCCTTTTGGTTTTGAATAGAGCAGTTTTTTTTTTTTTGCTGTCTGTATCCCATTGGTCAGATGTACCTTCACTTTCTGTACTAGAGACACAACAGGGAGAGGAAATCTATACAAAATAAAGTGTCCCCATTGGAAGACTTAAGCTAGCCATACATGGATCAAATTTTGATTCATATGTGGCCACGCTGGTAAAAAAAAAAAATCAATCTACAAATCAACTTCTGTTCAACTGCTTCATTGGTATTTTTCTGCAGGCCATAGGCTGCATCATTGACTGTGAGAGTTTACAATCTTTTAGGGAATAAAGAGATAAGGCATTCTGAGGCTTCTGTGACTTCCATTTGATGCCCACTTGTTCTGGGTCTGACACAGCCAGACAACTAGTATATTTAAAAGAAGGCCATCAATGAAAGCCCAAATATTTCTCCCATAACAGGTAAGCTTACGAGGAGAAAAGCTTTATAAGACGTATGCTTAGGAACTTCCCAAATGTTATTGGCAGCGCATGTACAAGATGATTACAACTTAGATTATAATAGGACTGACAGCGATAATAATGTCCACTTTCAAGATTATTCTCTAACATACTAAAAATGTTATTCTACTTGGTCCTCTGGGAAGGATTGTCGTGCAGTGCTCCTCCTGCTGACAAGACATGACCTTTACAAACCTTTACAATTTTTATCTGTTTAGTGCAAACACATTAGAATCTATGAGATTCACCTTGTGTGGTGATTTTCTCCCCTGATATTAATGCTCCTTGGGGTTCCTAACTCAGAGAGCACATATGGGTTATATACAAGTTGCTGTTTTTAAACACTTACCAGATTTTGGATGTTATTATACATATACCCACCTCTCTGCTGAAGAAGTGAAATGAGTCAAGAATATGTAGAGCTCCCAATCACTGATCAAATGTTAATAATTGGTTTACATTGTATTGTTTGTACCTAAAAAAAATCCCATCCTATATCTATGAGTTAACTATTGTATATCAGGGATGTGGTACTTTAACTGAAATATTGGACATCCAATAAAATAAATTGTTACAGCTGTGTAAGAAAACCTCAGCAGCCAATGAGAAAACAGCTTTTGGCAGGTATCTGAAATATCTGATATCCAATGTAAGAAATTGTTACAGCTGTGTAAGTAAACCTCAGCAGCAAATAAGAAACCAGATTTTGGCAGCTTGATCAGACTAATGATATCTACTTCCAGTTACTGCTCAACAGTATTTAAGTGTTCTTGCATGGCAAGACCACTTACTGTTATTTCACATATATATTATTATTATAGCCAAATTTTCCACCCTAACTCCTCTCCCACAGTTTTTACACTACATAGACAGTAATATACTGAAACGTGCAGATTGTTCCCGATTGGTGTGCTATTACTTTGTGGAACGTTTCGCCAAATGGTTCACGAAATATCGGCGTTTTTCTGGTGAAATTGGTCCCATAGGAATGAATGGCGGAATGTTCAAAACTAGAGTGGGAGCTGACAAAAGCTAGAGTGTGAGCTGAAAAATCAGGACATGATTTCTAAACTGCCATCACTCCCTCATTTTCAAGCCACTCCACCCAGTTACTCCGCCCACTCCAATTGTAGACTACTGGTGGAGGCAAGAACACTTCACACAATTTCCCCAGAAATTGTAGCTTTTCTAGTTTGACTACCAATATTTTATTAAAAGTATTGGATAGGTCATGTTTCTTGATAAATTTGAAATGTGAGAATATCTGTTTTATTGCGTAGGTTGGACCCCTGGAGCTTCTTATGTAGGTACCTCTGGAATTTGTAGAAATGCTGATTAAATAAGTGCATAATACCCATGTTTTACTAGTACACTGTTATCTCATCTATTAGCTATGTGGTGAGATAATTTTTGCAGAAGAACCTTGTGCTTTAATGGTTTTAAGCGTCTAGAATGTTAGTCGCATTCAATTAAGAGAAATATTTTAATGCAGTCTACATTTCTAAGATGTACAGTAGTTGTAGCATGTTGCTAAGCACTAAGCTTATTGTGCCGCTAATTCTACAGATCTGTCTAATAATTAGGCTGTTGTGCTTATTTCCCAGAAGTGCTGTATTTAATGATAGTTTTACTGAATTTAGCTTCAGTTTCTCAAAATGAGGCATCAAATCCAAAGTACATGGATGTGTATGAGATCACAGTGCATTTGCGGTTTAGACTTAGCAGGAGAAATATAGTAAAAATAAGGCTTCTGGTATTTTAGTGATGAATCAGCATGACTCCTGGATTAGTTTCAAAGCTGGGGGATTGCAAATATTTATAGCAGCGATTCACAGCAAGATGTGATAGCAAGTATTATTTGCAGAGTAGTGATCAGCTATGTGAAGGTTATTCATTGTCAAGAGAAAAATATATTTCTTGACCTTAAAATATGTACATTATCACTGGGTGTCCCAAAACCCTGCGAACTTTCCTTTAGTGTAAACAAATGCTTTGTACTTGAATACCTGTAAGATAGCCCATCAAAAACATGTATTAGACCATGTACATTCCAATATATGGGCTCACACACGCAGACAGATCTGTGTGCTTAACCAAAGACTTCTCAACTTTGTTCCACTAATTCATAAGGGCTCATGTACACTGCAGCTGCTAAACTGACATTTAGGAGCAGTTGAGCTTTTTTTCAGCAGCCCTTGAACTCTCCTTTATGTTTTCCTATGTGCCCATGTACACATAGTCGTTTACAGGCAGTTGAGTTTACAGTTGTTTTTTTGAACGCACCAAAATTGTGTTCAGGAGTAGATACCGGTGTTTCAAACGCCAAACGCTTGTAAATGCAGTTAACAAGTGTTTACGTTTAGGCGTGTTTTTTTGACAGGTTTGTATCCAGATGCTGTCCAGAGCCTTTTTTCTTCATCAAAAATGCATGCAAAGCGTTTTCCATGTATTCAAATGGACCTAGTACACCAGTGTAGTCAGTTCCAGGTTTCACGTGTAGGAAAAATTGGTAGAACATGCTGCATTATGCTCATGATGAGATCCATAGCGAATACAACCAGAAAAGACAGGTAATCTCAAAACATACTGCTCTCTCTGCTTATGCTCTCTCTATTTCTCTCAAAATGTCTGAAATAGTTCATTGTTTACTATTTTTCAGTGCATTCTGGGCATTTGGGAGGGTCTCCTGAGGTTATCTTTTAAAAACGCTTCTAAACGCAAACGCGCATTAAACGCGGTATGCAAATGTGGCTAAACTAAAGTTTTTTTAACCTACATTTTCTAGCAGTCAGTTTCCAGTGGTCAGAAGAGTTTTCAAATGCCCGTGTACATGAGCCCTAAATGTATTGTTAATTAGGGTATATTTAACTATTCACTGTTATTGCCTGAATTATATAGGGCTTTTGTTTAGCTGGATGTAAACCAACAAGAACTAAAAACATTTGTGGGTAACTCTGTACTCCAAGCAACATGCTATCATTCATCACCTAAAATGTAGCTGTGTAGCTGTAAAATGTACTGTGTAGCTGTAAATATCACCTGCTGTTTAGGCAAAAACTAGGAAGATTGACTTGGAAAAAGCATGGAAGCATCCCTATATGTTTACTTATTGTTGAGCTGTCAGGCTACAACAGTCATTCTCACCTGTGGAACTCTAGGGTTCCTCCAAAGGTTGCTAGAGATCCATTGATCTGTAACTAATTGACCTCCCATCCGAAAGTACCTGCATAGTCCCAGGAACAACACAAATTAGTAGAGTCAGCAGCATGACACCACCACTGTATAGGGGGAACAGGGTATCCTGACATCATGTAAGTGACATTTTTCCTACTGATGCCCGATGATTTGATTTTAACAAGGGCTCTCCATTACCTGATATTTATCTTAAGGGATCCTCTGGGACAAAAAGATTAAGAAAGGATGGGCTACAGCATGACTTCTGTTTCAATATTTTTATTAAGAAAGTTTTGTTTTAAGAATACAACAAGCTCAAGATACGCCCACGCAGGGGCAGAGCAGAACCATAACACATAAACATCCTGCTGACTTGTATTAGCCAAATAATTGAATGTCCAATGACATCAAGGAGGGATGGCAAAAAGCCGAACAAAATAATAGCAACAGCAATCCATCATATTACCGGAAAAAGAAGAGAGAGAGAAAAAAAAATGAAAGAATCAGAAAGAAAACATAGAGGAAAGGAAAACTAGAAGAATCACGGATCCAGGGCTAGCACAGGTAACGCCTATAAGAGGCCATAACTAGTAGGAGGCAGGGATGGCAAGGAATAACGTATCCAAGGTTCCCAAACCTTAAGCTACAGCATGACTTCATGCACGGTCTGTGTGGCAACACTTTGCCTTATGGTAGGGCATATGTACAAACATCAGATACAATAATAATCCTTTAAGCCAGCCATAGACAGTTCGAATCTAAGCTGGTTCAGCAGGGACCTTGTATGTGCAGGCTGAATTTACACAAGTTGATTGATTGATCAACTTGAGTACAATTAGCCTGTCGGATTTTACATGCGATTATTGCCAGCGGCTATTATAGCCACTAGCAGTAATCATTGTATTCTTCCGACGTGGATGGCTCCCCCTGCCAGGAGAACACAAAGGCTCCACAGGATGGATTGAGCGATTTTCTTTCCTGAAGCCTATGGTTGCAGGTAAGAAAATTTCTCCAT